TTTGACAGCTGCTGCGGGTTGCTCCTTGATTGCAGCCGTTTGCTGGGATTCCTGTTCCTTCTCCTGCTTCTTCTCCCTTCGTTGCTTGCTCCTCCTTGGCTTCTCTTCATCGCTACTTTGGTCAGAACTACTGACTTCTCCAGCTCCCTCCTTCTCCTTTCTCACACTTTTCCCACCAGTTTTCACCATAGTAGTTTGTTTCTTGTTTCCCTTCTTCTTGTTCCTTCTTATCCTCTGACTTCTTTCCTTCGTCCACATCTCTTTGATAGTGGCCTTCCATCTTCCAAACAGAATGAAAACCGGCGACTGGAAAAAAGCGCATCCACATCGGTATATCGCATGAAAAATGTCTTCAATCCGCATCCAGATCGTTGACAAAAGATTGATCAAACCCCATAGGATCAATAGACCCAGGATCTCGTTCCACCACGGTAGGCCATGCTCCAGGACGTACACTCCAGCATCCTGTATCCTTTCAAACACCTTCCTTGGATTCGTGATGGCATCAATCAGCAAATCAATCGCCTGATCCTGGAGTGCATAGAAACTGCATCGAATTGTCCCACAGCTCTTGAAATCTTGTCCATAGCCTTCTGGCGGACTGGGAGGCAAATCCGTTTCCACGTCATCGTCGTTTCTTACCAGCCTCTCCCACCAAAAAGACGCCATGCGATCCCAGACAGACTGATGGACCAGTGCCCCCTTCTGGGCAGTGTACAGATGGTTCTTTTCAGCTTTCAATGCCTCCTTCGCCGCAGGTACTTCATACATTGACCATGCAGTCGCCTCCGTAGCCATTCCCATGATAACTAAAAACATGAACCAGAATGGGATCTTCTTGGTCCACGCAGCTCTGCGCCTCCTCATCCTTCCATGCAGCATCAGATCCCTTCCCAACAAGCCTACCTCGGCTCCGAAACCATGCAGAAGTTGCCCCATTGCGCAGAAAATGGCGGCAGTCATGTTGAACAAAATGAGGAGGGCCAGGCCATTGTAAACCGTTCTGACCGCTCCTATAATTGAATCCGTCTTCATCTCATCAATATTCAGCATCCAGGCCAGCCACCCGAGTAGGGTCACCAAGAGTTCCCCAATCCACTGGATGCCAGCGCCCAGGAACTTCACGCTCCGTCCGACAACGCCAGCCAACGCCGCCATGACGGCAGCTCCTTCCATGGGCGATCCCGGAAAGCTCATTACCATCTCGCACCTCACCGCAGAGGTCTCCACCAGTTCCATACGACGCAACGTCCCCACAGCGTCCACTCGTTGCGCGTACCGGCCGATCCGCACTCCCGTAGGGTGCTACGGCACTCCAGCACCAGCGACGGCGCTCGCCTTGCGTAATGCGCCGCCCTCAGTCACTCCGGATCCCACGAATGTCTTACTCAACACTCAGCGCGAGTGTGAGAGACGCCACAGAGCCTCGGGGCTCCTTAGGCCGGCTTGCGGATACACGGGTACCACAAGAGGGCAAGACCGGTGGGCGGTCGAGCCGGCGGGGGGCTGTGGCGCGACGGTGGGAGGTACAGGCGGCTGGGACACAGGGATAGTCACACAGAGGCCTGCCGGAGAGCTGTCAGGACAGACTCCCCGCGGCTATTTATTACAGAGCTGTCTTTCGGGTACAACTGGCAACTATGCGTTCACTCCTTCTCGTCATGCCTCCCCGTTCACTCATCCAACTGGACACGACACGACCCAATCACAGCAAGTTTCCAGTACAATCTGTCCCGTCCGGTCACACGCCAGCCAGGACACCCCAGAGATCATTCTCCGTCAAGGAAACCCTCGGACAACTCCATCCTCGCCAGCTGGCTTCCGGTGGCTACCCTCCATCTCGTCATCCGCCAGCCCGGACACCGTCACGTCACGACTGCCAGCTTGTCTCCCCCCTTCCCGTAATCCGCGCCCATCAACCTCCGAATCCCGGCGGGAGTGATGGCGTCACCGCGTCCTCGTTGCGTGTCCCATCAAAACCGGGTGGCAGGGTTGGTGTCGTCATCGCGGTCGTGCCGAGGGTTGCCGGTACAGCTGATGGTCCACCAGCGGGCGCTTCTTCCATGACGTCATCGTGGACTTGCCCCTGTCGCCTCGCCTCGCGTCGCTGACGTCGGATGGCCCTCCGCCAGGCCCGCTCCTCCGCGCGCAACTCCACGGCCGTGTACGGCGGCTTGCCAGCATTGACGCGTCGGGCCACAATCGCGCTGGCTTCCACGAAGGCGGCGGAGGGCAGTACAGCGGCGTTGGGTTCAGTCTGAACCCCGAATTCCTTCCGCTCACGTGGGAAGGTCTTGGAGGCGCTTGATGGATGTGTAGCCGCGTATTCGCGGCGGGTCACGCCTCCACCCTCCACGCGCCAGCTTCGGTCATCGGAGTACGGTACACTGATGTCCAGGCTCACATGTACTTGGCGGTAGTAGAAGCTCAGTTCCGCACCGCGCCAGGCACTGATCCGCCCCCCTTCGCGTTCGATCATCGCGGTGATGTGTTGACGGAACGCCTGAATCCCCATGCCGGCGTAAGGCCGATGCGGATGGGGATGCACCTGGAGCGCCCAGGGGCGGTACACGGCCTCAGGATCGTAGTCGGGGTTCCAGTCTGGCTTCTCCCCAGGCCCAGGCAGATGTCCTGACGTCAATTGTGTTGATTCCGTGTGCTCGTACGCCTCGCGCGCCTGCTCCTGGAGCTGATATCGTAATGCCTCCTCCCCATGCTCTCGTTGATGGTGCAGCCATTGTTCATCTTCGGCGCTGAACGGTAGGATCACCGTGAGCCCGAAGCTCCAATATCCTGGCGGGCAATCAGCTCGCTCGAGGTACCACCTCGAGAGCCATAGATCGCCGAAGGCGAGCCACTGAGCGATGAGTAAACGCCAGCTTTCGACTTGCCGAAAGCGCGCTGCGGTCATGGCTGCTGGGAAGGCGCCGAACAGCTGCTGGGGAGTGAGAGTGGAAGGCGGGGCTCGCTGTGCAGGACGGACAGAGTGCAGGAGAACGCCACTGTGCGCTTTTGCCGTTTTGGAGGTCTTGGACGATGTTCGGATGTCGGACTGGTCGCTTGGCTGCTTGTGGGTGTGTGAAAGGATGTCGTGATCCTATGCTGGACGTCAAAGTTGGACAGAACCGTGGATGCTGATGCGTAGTCAGCCGCATAGGGCATGAAAACTGTACAATGGAGCTGATTCTGAAGTCGTAGTCGCTGAGCGGCTTGATCTTGTACAATTCTGGTCGGATTGTAAGTGTTTGATTGCTCCTCATGTTGCCACTATTCCCAGCTGTGAGATACATCTATTCTCAGAGTTAAAGTTGGGCGGCCGATGGGGCTGGAGATGTTGCCTGATGATGCTTGGAAGATGAAGTTGATGGAGTCATTTGCCATGTCATTATTGCCTGGAAATGGCCAACTTCAACAGCCCTCGCCGACGCGAAATAGATCGTCGCGGACGAAATTGCTGCAGGAATCCAGAGCGGTGATCCCCGTACCGCAGGTTTTTAAGACCCTTCCGCATCTGAAAACTTTGCTGTTACGCTTTTCGCTGCGCATTTTGTTTTCCAGAGCGTAATTTTTAATTTTTTACGTTTCTCCGCAAAAATCCTGCTGAAAGAGCGATATTTATTTTATTGTTTTGTCCACAAAAAGAAGGCCAAGCGGCTGCGTTACCGTGGGGAAGGGCATCAAAACCCCATGATAGGCCCTTGCCAACGCAAAATAGATCGTCGCGGACGGAATTGCTGGAGGAATCCAGAGCGGTGATCCCTGTGCAGCGATCACAACTTTGCTCCTGCGCCGATTGCAGTGCGCGATCCTCTGCACGCGCCTCTCAGCGGGCAGTTTTTGCGCGGCGGTCTCAGCGTCCTGTCGCCATGCAGAAGGCGGCGGTGGAGTCGCCGTGGAGGGGGGCGGCCTCGCCGTGCGTCCATGCGCCCGCTGTGCGCCGACGCTGCTGCGCGCGGGCGGCAGCCGGCGACGCGAGGCCCGCGGGGGCGGGAAGCACGGAGCGTCGATTCAACGGGGAGGCCCTTTCACGGCGCAGCGTTTTGTGGCTGTCCGCGGCGGTGGGGATGGGACTGCCGGTGTGGCCGGCAATGGCGTTCAGGGACCCGCCACCTGGTGAGGTGGGCGCCTGCGGCTGGCGTCGATTTTTGTTCAGGTGTAGTCGATTGGGGATGCTGGTTTCTGAGCCGCCGGATTCCAAAACCAAACGGAGACTTAGCACATGCAGATGCAATTTGTCTCGCTTCCTTGTTGTTTCTGTGGTTAAAGGCAGACATTGACAGTGTGTGCATTGCATCTTGGAAAATTGAGCAAATGCCAACATTCGATGTTGTTGTGGAGATCCAGTAACAGCATGTCGTCGGGCTCGATGATAAATATGAGTAGGTTGCTTGATGATTCCCAGATTCAAGCCTGGTGCATTCTTGAACAAAACAGAAGTTAACAACTGGTTTGATCTTTGTTGCTTCAATTTGAGCCAATTGGTCAAAATGAGAGTATGCCTACCTTTTTAAAATTTGGCATACAGAAGGCCTGTTCTTACCATTGTTTCCAATGGCATCCACCACAGAAGCATCCGTCACCCCACCCCAAAGTGCACAGATTTAGAATTGCTGTTCATTCATGCCCACCTTTCAGTAATTTTTTGTGTCTGGTGTCAGGATTCCGCTCTTACACTGATGTGCTTGATGGCTACACCTTTGTCGTCCCAGAAGATTGGGTTAGGACGACGGTAGGTCTGATTAATCGATTCGATCCATTTCCTGCTTCTTCATGACAAATGACAATGGATGAGGGCTCTGAAATTCCTGCCTTTGGTCCGTGCTAGGTTCTTCACCGTTTTACTTTGATTACATTGATTTTTGCTGGTAACAAAGCTGCAGAACACATTGCACTGGCGATGGGTGCATGAGTGGTGGTTTCCAAAGCAAGCTGCTCTGTGTTTTGTGCTGCAAGTCTCACACAGCTGTTGCTCAGGAGTGGAGCGTCCTCTGTTTTGAGCCATGTCCCTTACCTGTTGGATGGAGTTTGATTGGATCATTTTGCAGACTGCAGGGAACGATGTGGCATTCAGAGATCCTGTGAACGTTGACAAGAATCTCTTTGTCAACTTGTCCTCCCCTTCCTCCTCCAAATATGCTGTTGTGTCAGACCTTGGGTCGCCACAAGATGCAGCTCAGCGGATCTTGCAACAGTACCTGGCAGAGTTCATGTCAACAAGAATTGGTGTGCAGAGAGAGGGGGACATTATCTCAGCAGAGCAGAGAACAGGGCCAGACGGCAAATTGTACTATGATGTCCAGGTCTGTGGCATGGTTGGAGCCTGCATATGATGGTGGAATGGCTATGTGCAATGCCAGTTGGCAACAGGGCTGGGCCTAAACACCACCTGTACCTACTGCAGGTTTTTGCTACTGTTGCAGCTGTCCTTGTTGTCTGTTGAGAGGGAATTTTTGTATCGGAATAGCTGTATGTTATACAGAATTGGAATGGATTCTCACCTGTGCTGTACTGCACAATTGTGCAGCATTTGATAATTGAAATCCACCGATGGTCAACCTGGGCTGTGCAGTGAACTTGGTAGCTTCATAACATTTGTTGCAACAGGAACTGGGCTGCAACCACTGTGTATTGTTTATGAATGCTGGCCAGTAAGATCCTGTAACGTGTACTTTTCAGTGTCCACCGCAGGGAAGGAATTGTGCTTCAACATCAAATTCATACTGCCAATCTCACCTAATCAGGCTTTTGTGCATTTTGGACTTTAAGCCTGGATCGAGGAACTGTGCACACAAACGCAAACAAGCTTGCCCTGTTGAATTCATTGTCTCCTGTGGGTTGATGGCAGGCAAAGGGTCTGGTTCCCCTTGTCCAGGTCTTCAGGTGGCACAATGTTAGAAATGGCACCAGTCACATCAAAAATATTCTCTAATTCGGAAATTCTTCCCACACAGTCCTGCTCAGTGACCATATGTGCAGTCAAACCACATCCATGTCATTGCACTGTGTAGCAGAGTGGCTGAGCTGAATTCAACGTGGCCATTTCAACAGCTAAATACAGACTTGCACTGTGATCACAGATTCGACTCCGATCCTATGCTTCTCGTAATCCACTCGCAGTCACTTCTCAAGAGCGTGACATGGGAGTGGAGCTGGAGTGGGACAGATTACTGATTGCAGTTCTTGGGGTCGCCAACAAGAGACTGTACGAAATGAGGCTACAGACGAATTTTGACGTTTCAGAGTCCGAACTGGTATGGCTGGTGAAGTTTGCACGTGTGTTTGAGGTTGAACTGTGTGCAGATTTCCCTCTAGTGCATGTTTTCGACTGTTCGCTGTACTCTGGCACTCTGTTCCCTGGTGCTGTTGAATGAGATCGCGCCTCCTCCCTAGGCTTGCTTCCATGGATTGCCCCAGAAAAGAGCTAGCTGTGCCTGGGCCTGGCAGAACACCTGATAATGCTGCCACACACGAATGTCCTTGCCACACTTCTGGATTCTTATATTTTAACTCTGCTGCCCTTTTATTGGCGCATTGGAATCCACTGCCTGAAGTGGACGTGAAAATATGTATGGCGATTCTCCAGACTGAGTCGTGTTTATTCCATTTAGTCGTCCGAGGGCTCTTCCCCCTGCGGCTGTCTTACACGACTGCTGGACTGAGTGGTGTGTCTATGCTTGCCTTGCAGAGCAAATTGGGACAAACTGCCGTGTCATTTGAATGCCAAGAGGTTTGATCCACATATTTGATGGATGCAGCTGCACTGGCGATTTTGGAGCGCACATTCACCATCGCTGCCGGTTGCATGACAGCGGGTTCATTTAATTTTGGCCCATTCTTATCCTGGAGGAGCAAGCAGCCCACTGTCGCTTAAGGCCCACTCTGTGTGCGCCCTTGGTTTGCTGAACTCGAGTTGGGAGCCAAAATGCACTGCGTTGGCAGGCGCGCATTTCGGGTATGTGCCAGCGTCGTTGTTCATTGAACACGAAGTAAAGCATTGACAAGCAAATAAACAAATGCCGCATTGATAGTTTATGCGGAAAAGCCAGTGTTGTGCCAGCGCCTAAAAGCACGGGGAAAGCGACACATGGCAGGATCAACCATCGCGATAAAAGGTCTGCTGCGGGGCGGCCGCGAATGGCAGCAGACGGCGGATGTTCACCAAACTGCAGAATGCTATTGCATCGCCTGAAACAACGAAATTCTTGTCGCTTCACTTGGAGCCAGGACTGTTCTTCAGGCGTCCAAGCTTGCTCCAATCACAAGGGCCCAAACTAAACAACGTTTTCCCACGCCCGAAATGGCGCCCTCCGCGCCGCGCTGTGGAGAAATCTTGGGTGCAGCGGTCACGGCCCCACTTCCTCCTTCACCCCGGCGAAGTATGCGCGAAAGTCTCCGGCCCAAAAAGCCCAACCCCGCCCCGCAACATCCGCATTTTTTTGCCGCAGGGCACCCCCACAACCTTCCACAAGGCCGAAACAGGACAGGAAGGATTCCGCCTTCCAGGACCAAGGCACCAGCAGCCCTCGCCTGCGCTCGCCGTCCTCCAGTCCTTGGGCTGGCGCCGGAAGCCGCAAGACCGGGCGCTCCATCGGGCCGCGGGCGGCGCCCCTGAGGCCGACATGGTGCTCGTCCTGTGCATATCGGACCTGCACATCCCCCACCGAGCGGCGGACCTGCCCTCCAAATTCCGGGAGCTCCTGCAGCCCGGCAAGATCTCGCACATCCTGTGCCCCGGGAACCTGTGCTGCCGGGTGGGTCGGCGAGGCGGCGGCTGATCCGGAAAGCGCGTCCGCCCGATCGACGGCAGAGTTGTTTGGGAGGGGATTGCGCCCGCGTGCGGCGCCCAGGGCATGCGGGCCCCTCCTGGGCACCGCCCATGGGTCCGTTGCGCGCTGCGCCTACCTGCCGTGATGTCGCTGCATTCTGTTTCTCCACTGTCTGTAAATTGTCGACGGCGGTGTTGGGAGCCTGTCGAGGCTTGCGACCCCCGTCGGCCAAGTCGGGGCTGCCGGCTCAGCGGGCCTACTCGGCTGTGCGGATACACGGCAGCCGGCTCCTTTTAGTGTTCGTAGTCCCGTGCGTGTTGCGAGGCGGATCGTTGCAAGGGGTACGCAGGCAGTCTGGAAAAGTCCCCGTTCTGTCTGGAGGCAATTTCGGGAGGCATTGGGCTTGTTGTGTGAGCCTCACTCCTTTATTGGTTCCAACTATTTTGTCGGTTCAGGTGGACATCCCTGTTCCCAATCAGAGAATCATGCTCGCAGGCTGTGGGTACATATGGAGCTCGCCGGTGCTGGGGGGACACACAGCGTTTGCACACTTTCATGGCATAAAACTTTGGGATCAGTACTGTGTGTGATCTGATTGGCCGCAACAGCCCCTGACCCCCTTGACTTGGGCGCAGGAGACGTACGACTTCTTGAAGACGGTCTCGGCGAACTTGCACCTCACCAAGGGGGACTTTGACGATGTCAGTGCGCCAGAGGATAAGGTTGGGCACTGATCTTTCCCTGCTGTTCCTCCCAGTGCCTGGTACTACGCTGGGCTGGCATGCCCCTCAGCTGCTGAGATCAGTGTGCTGGGTGTCTGATAAGTAGAAAAGGGATGCAGAGTGCATTCGAGAAAAGGGCAATAGGGCCAAGACAGCATGGCAATCACAAATCACACGTGGGATCGTATGCATGCCTTGTGCAATTGTTTGTGATGAATCCGGCAGGCGGTCGCCTTTTTGGCTGGCATGGAGTGCAGCCCTGATTCAGTCCTTGGGTGGTGAGCAGGTGCTGAACATAGAAAGCTTCAAAATTGGGATCTGCCACGGACATCAGGTGCGCCCTGCGATGGCTTTGCGGGCAGTGTTGCTGCAGTGGTTGGCAACAGTGCTGTGGCAACAAAGGCCACATGCACTTTGCCTGCACTGTCTGTTGCCACTGCAAACTGTGCAAGGCATTTTTCTCGTTGCATGGGCATGTTTTCTCCATCCAAACACAGATTGCAAATGTCATTGTTGAGTTTTCAATTGTTTGTTGGGAAACAAGCTCACAGTGGCACCTCTTTATCATTCAATGAACATGGAAATCTGCTTGGTCGTCAGGTTGTTCCAAGCGGCGACGTCGAAGCTCTGGCGATTCTGCAGCGCCGCCTTGATGTGGACATCCTTGTCACTGGCCACACCCATAAGTTCTTGGTGAGCACCCGAACGCTTTAGTGGGAGATAATGCATTGCCTCCTTGCTGAGAATCCCACTGTCCTCAGAATCTGACAGTCTATTGTCCTTCTAATTTTTGCACGCTGGCAGTCCATCTCGTCACTGAATGTTCTTTTGTGGGCAACAGAAACAAGAACAATCACTTTGATTGCTTGTAGAACATCCAGCAATGCGAATTGCCTGCATGCATCCACACATGCAAGGGGAACGCTTCACAGCTGAGGCAAACAGCCATGCTTCAAATTCTGCACAGAGAATGTACATTCTCTTCACATGTGGCATCATTGACTTGTAATTAGTAATTTGTGCAGTGTTTCCCATTTTGTGACGTATGAAATTTATCCACAAAGACTTTTTGCACTGTTCTGGGCAAAGATCCAGCTGCAATCGCCATTGTTATGCTGCTGCTAATGCAACAGTTGCAGCAACGGCATTCAGTGATGTCTCAATGTTTAGAACGGAAGAGTGACATGCCAAGAAAGTGCTGCAGCTGAGGTTGAGCAACCACTTGAATTGGCGCTTGCAGGTGCACCAGTATGAGGATCGGCTTCTAATGAACCCAGGATCAGCAACCGGGGCCTACTGCATGTATGAAAACGAGGTCACACCCAGTTTTATCCTCATGGACATCACTGGCACCAAGGTGACTTGCCTGTACCAGCTTTCATGCCACTATTGCAGCAGCTGCTTCCAGTCTATTTTTCCCCCCAATCCACCTCTGCCTCAATGTGTATGCTGGCCTAGTGTTATTCCTTCACTGTTGCCCTTGCATGGGCACCCCAGTTTGGATATGTTTGCACCTTACCACGGCTGTCGGTGCACATGCAAATCCCAGTCCTGTTTAGTCGCATGCTCTATACCACCTTCAATTTGCGTGAGTGGGAACCACTTAGTCTCACGAGGATGTGCATCAAATATGTGGAACTGAGAACCTGCCAGCCACCTTTCTTTGCAGCACACCTTTCCAACCTGCACTTTTGCCAACCATTCTTTTAACAATTGTTCTGGACTTTGCCACCTGCTCCATCTCCAGGTCGACCTGTACATCTATCAGTTGATCGATGGTGAGTCTAAGATTAAGAAGATGGAATTTGTGAAGCCAGTGGGCAAAGGCGCCGCAAAACTGGCCACAAACGTATTGGAAGCGACGAAACCAGTGGTCACCGAGACCAAGCCCATAACCACCGAGGTGCCGTCCCTTGACAAAGTGGCGGACAAGGCAGTGAGCTCTGGAGCGGCAGCCCCCCCTGCGGAGCCCTCGCCTTATGCAGACCAGGCTTCCTCCGAAATGCCGGAAGCTTCGCTGGACGGTGACCTGCAGTTTGCAACGATACCAGCGGCAGGTGCAGATGACGAGCCGGCACAGATTCAGACGCTGGGGTCATCAGGCGCCGGCGGCCCAGTGCCAGGGGGAGAAGAGGGCAAAAAGAAAGAAGACGGGGTGAAGGGAGGGGATGGCAAGCCAGAGCACTGACCCGTGGAAGCTGTTGTGTCTGATGAGAGCCGGCCTGCAGTTGATGGCTGACTGATCATGCAGAGGGAAGGCTGCAAAGGGGGATGTGAAGGAGTGGGGAAGGCTGCGGAGAGGGACATGAAGGAGTGGGAAGGACACTGAAGGCCCATGACAAGAACCGTGCTATGGCACCTGCCGATCGAAGGTGCTTGAATTATTTGGGGGATGTTTTGGGGGGCATGGGGCCCACTTCATTTGATTTTCTTGGTTGGGCTACTAGTCACAGTGATGGCTGCAGCAGATGCCTTGCCTTTTTGAGTTGGACAAGTGCAGCTATCCACAGCAGTTGCCTTGGCACATTTGGGCATGTTCCAAAGTCTGCCGGCTGGATCTGAGTTGCACAATGAAGCGCCAGTGCATCATTGGCACACTGGATGCTCCTGCATGGAAAGCGGCCATCCATAACAGTCACTTTCATGCACAGCAGAAATCCACATTTGATAAGACTGCATGGGAGCAATCAACATCACCATCACCACTAACTTAGGCTCTATATTTCCAACAAAAGTTCAAGAATGTCCAAGCAGCTAGCAAGGCATCTGGGGAGGGGAGCAGGGGAGCAGCACGCATGCCAGCTCCTATGTCCCCAACACTGACACAAGGTCTTATCTGGTTCTCTGAACAGGTGGTTTGTGAGCCCAATCAAGCAATAATGCACACTAACACAACTTTGCGCAGTGTTCAACTTGTTGGCATTGGCCAGACAGATATAACCCAGCACACAACCTTGGCCTGGGTGTCCCTGTCTTGAGTCCCACAACCCAGGCATGTATCTATGCAACGTTCATGCGTTTGTGCTCAGCAAATCGCCAGCTGTGCATGGTGGCTGTCAGGATTTGCACTGCTCCAGCTCGGTGACTATCCAGTGGCTTCGCAGCATGAGTGCAGCACAGCCATGCTAACCACCCATGTTCTTCTAAAGCCATTGACTGTCTGAGCAGCATCTGAGGCCATCAGTTCACTTGCCACATTTCATGACCATCGTGCCAACCATGTCATTGCATGCTTTCATCGCCACTGCATCTGTGCTGCTTGCTTGGGCTGTCAAGATATGGGCATCAGTCCTGGTACAAATGGTAGGGATCCATCTCTGGCACACCGGTGCTGGGGACCGGCAGTTCACCTGTGAAGGTGGGAAACGGGAGGTCTGTTTGGATCTTGCGTATGGCATCCCTGACCATCACAAAGTTGCCACGACGTCCTGGCACCTGACCCTTGACGTACAGGAGGTTTCGCTGAGGGTCCACCTTCGGGCAAAACATATGGGTTAGAACGACACGTTTGACCAAAGGAATGATTGGTGGTGCTTGCTGAATGTGTACATGTACGTTGAGATCCCGGTGGTTGCAGTTGATGCAATGCCAGTCAAGGCACAGGATCTACAAAAACTACACACACGCTGCTCATCTGCGAGTACTCACCGAGACTGGTACTATTGACCTGAACGGAAGAATACAGTTCTTCCCCAGCAATGCATTGACTGCATTGCAAGCGAAGATGCAACCACGAATAGAAGTGATGGACAGGTTGGAAAACGGTTGACAACTGGATTGCATCAGAGTGCTTGCAGACAGCCCAGGCAACCGTCCCTGGTGCCATCTCCAGACCCATCATGGCCAGGCACTCCCAGGCCCAGCCCACCTTGAACAGCCAGCAGTTGTGCACCGTCCGGCGGTCAACCCCCATGTGGCCCGCCATCTTTTTCCCCTTCCACACCTTCCCCGGATCCTGACAGGCGCCCGTCGAGCCCAGGGCGCGATGGGCCAGCGAGGTGCCGTGCGAGGCGGGGGCCCCGGCGAAGCCCCACCGCTTCATCCCGCCCTGGAAGCCCTTCCCTGTGGTGGTGCCGGTGACGTCCACAAATTGGCCGGCCTTGAAATGCGCGGCGCCGATCTCTGTCCCCACTGGGAGGGCCCCATCCCTGGTCACTCTGAACTCGGCCAGCTTGCGCTTGGACACGGCCAGCGCTCGTTCCCGGCTCTCGCCCTGCCCGTTGTTCGCGTGTTTCCGCCGTGCGCTGCCGATCCCCACCTGCAGACTCGTCAGGCCAGGCTCGCCCAGGTGCCTCACCTGCGTGACCTGCCCAGAGCCCCACCATCCCCCAATCACCCCAGTTAGCAACATCGCAACGGGCGTCAACCACCAGATCGGAAGAATGTGTCCCTGCCGCGCGTCAAGCCCCGTCCTTGGAAAACGGCGCCGCGCGTTCAATCGGCAAACCGGCAAGCGCATCCCAAACCGGCAAGCGCATCCCCAACCGGCAAGCGCATCCCCAACTGCCCGGCCGCAGGCGCCCCCACGCTTGGTACCCTCCATTGGGTATGTGACTGGCGCAGGCCAGTCCCATCGCCTCTCCTCCCCGCCGCAGAGGTATTGCCGGTGCCATCGTTCGCACCATCCCCTAGCCGGAAGCCCCTCAAGGGTTCGAACACTGCTGCCGCTCTTGCCCCCCCCCCCCAAGAGCATGTTCAGGCACCATTCCCAGTCTTCGCACCTGGCAGTTGTCGATCCACAGGACAGTGAGCGGCACGGCTGCCCCGTAGCTGTCCCAGTCCTGGGTCATCCCCATCTTCACCGCGATCACGCCCGTTCGCCGGGCTTGTGTGGGGAAGGTCAGGGCATCCACAACGGCCCCCCCTTCCTCCACGCCCGCGGCCTTGCCGATCAGCACCTCCCCGGCGTCGGTGGAGAGGCGGCGAGCGAGGGCAGCCTCGGGCGAAGTCGCCTCCAGCGTCAGGCGGCGCAGCAGCCCCAGGCACGGCGCCCAGGACGGCCTGGCACCCAGCATGGCGCCCGCACACCGAGGTGTGCTGATGTTGCTGGCACCCGACTTGCCGTGAAATATCCAACACTCAGGATAAGAGAACTTTAGCGTGGCGCTTTGGCCCCGCAATTTGTTTTCCAGAGCGTTATTGCTACTTCTTTGACGTTGCTCCACAAGAAAAGGCTAAACGTCACGTTGCTATGTGGAAGGGTTGAATACACTACAATATTGCTCGCCGTTGAAGAGATTGGAGAAACTAAAGAATGGTTGGCAGATGGGTTGTTGTGTATTCTTGGCTTTGGTTACAGGGTACCCAACATTATAGTTGCCGGGTCGTTTGGATTTAGGTCGGGCTTTGGGTAGCCGAATCTTTCTCTCGTAATTGGGGTTTCATTCATGATATTGATGGACAGTTATTGGGCCCACCATGATAATGTACATTTGGCTAAATACATACGTTTTTTATGCGTAAAAACGTAAGTTTGCGAAACTTTCGCACTTTCTTTAAGAAGATATTTTTACCGCTATTTCTACGTTTCTGCGGCTCCCTGGGACAGCCAGGTTACACGATGAAAGTTGCGTACAATGATCAGTCTTGCGCCATCTCTAGCGCCAGCAACACAGTGCCCACGTCGCCCTTGGCAAGGGCAACAACGGCATGAAACAAAAGTTGGTTTTCTACCCATTCCAACGCGTCTGACTGGCGCTCCCCGGATTCCCAACTCTGTATGTATTGTCCTTACGTACACTGTATGCACGTAACAAAACACAGATTGTGGTCAAGCTTCGTATTTATGTCGTAAACGCTTTTCTATTTACAGCTATAGCTGTAAAGTAGTGTAAAGTGCGTAAGTAGCTACTTACGTGCAAAACTGGCTTTTACGTTTCCACACATAAATAGGCGTAAAAATGCATAAAGCTAGTCCCTATGTACTCAAGGATTCTGGGGAGCGGTAGCAATGCCCGCTGAAGATTGCAGCACGATGTCGTTGCCATTGCTGAGGTCAAGGTGGACGCTGAGTTGCCAGTGCTAGGGAGGCTGGTGGACTGATCATTTTTTAGGACATCATCATATAATCTACGCATGCCGACGTGCGGTAAATATGCATAAATATGTCTATAAAACTGGCCGTTTCTTTATTTACATGTCTGTACGCATAGAAACGTAAATGCAGATATGGAGCCATAAACGCAAAGACCAAGAATGCTGCAACGTGCACATTACTAACCACTGGGCAGCTGGGCGCACAGTGGATGCAGCGAATTTGCTGCGCCCGTGTTGCGGAACTTACGCATCGCAATTCGCTCTTCGCAGCACGGGCGCAGCAAAGCACGTTCCAGTGGGTTACGTGCTTGTACTACGGCTTTCTTGTGACCTGCGATGAACGCCGATGTGCCAATCTGGCAAGCATCAGTGGATCGGGTGCGTTGTTTGCTACGGGAACGCTCTAAACGTTGTACATACAACGCATATATCTCAATGAATTTGCATGCCACTGGCATTGCTGTGCTGCATGGTGCACTTTGTCTCAAGCTTGCGCAAGGTGCGCTCAACTGGACCTTGATGATCAACAATGGGCCAAGTATGAGAGATTTCCTGGTGACGAAGTTGCCATTGTAGATGCAGTAGGTAGGGACACAAAGGATGTAGACACATATATTGATTGGTGGAACTTATGCTTTTGATTATCATGTCGCTAACAACGCATGTCTCCCAAAACTTTCAGCAGCTTCGGGCGCATTTTGAGCTAAACGGATGGGGAGCCGCCGCTGGCTAGCCAGCGCTGTACCCACAGGCGTATAGGACGTAGGACAGGGCGTGTCACACCTTGCGGTCATCAGATGCCGCGCAATCCGCCGGTCGGTTATGGAATGGAATGTACAAGGCGGGTGGGCAATGAGTTCTTAACGACGGTGGCAAAGCCCTTCTGGTGATTAGCTTCTGTACTTCGTTAGTAGGCGTTGCTCCTAGGCTCCCAAATGGATAATGGCCACAAGTGAGAAAGATTCATTCCCCTCATCAGGCTTGGATTTTACGCCGTAAAAACGCAGATACGATCCGTTTTTACACGTAAAAACGGATCGTATTTGCGTTTTTACGCGTAAAAACAGTACTTACGTTTTTACGTGTAAAAATGCGTAAAAATAGGTAAATACAACGTAAAAACTGTCCGGTGTACATAAAGACAGTGCATACAGATTTGCGGAGGCCGGGGAGTGGCAGCTAGGCGCCCTGGAAGGGGCAGAAAGCGAGTTTTTGTTAAGCGCCATCATCGCCCTTGCCAAGGGCGATGTGGACATTTTGTTGCGGGTGCTGGAGTTGGCGGAGGACTGATCATCGTACGCAACTGTCATCGTATAACCTGGTTGTCCCAGGGAGCCGCAAGAACGTAAAAATAGCCGTAAAAATAGAACCTTGTGCAGATTTACGTTTTTACGCGAAAAAACGTAAACGCAAAAACCAAGCCTGCCCCTCATCACCCTCATTGCAATGGGGGTGTGATCTAATTAGAAATTGAGGCGGGTAGGGAGCCCCTGCTAGGGACGCCAGCTAGAAAGGAAAGTGTTAATTGTGAATCACAACATGCACCGACGATATTGCAAGCGGTGAAGGACCTGACGTTAACGCCTGATGGCGCATCGACTTTGCGTTTTGGGTGCAGCTGTTGCTTAGGAAAGTTTGTTTCAGCATACAGATTACGGCACAAATGCCACTTTCCATACGTATTGTGTGCAGCGGGTCTTGGATGTTGGTCAGGTGCAATTGTGGTGAGGTGCGTAGCGTTGCACGCAGCAAAGAGAGCCTGCGGTGGGGCCCCCCATTCACCTGTACAGTCACCTGTACAGAACATGTTCGATTGGGCGCGTGATGGTGAGGCGTCATACGACAATGTCAATATGCTGGTGATAAATCCTTAGCAATATTGCTGCCAGAGATGGAAAACTGGCAGGAAAAATCGACTGTATTAGGTACAAGATATCTTATCTCTGCCGCATTAATGTGTAGAATGGTTGCATATATCGAATGCCAAAATGGCTATCAAAACAAGTCTGGCGATGGGGGTGGGTTGGGCAAATGTGCAAATCTTCTTCCCTGCGGGTTCCACGCCTGACTGTAGAGTATTTTCATGAAAACGGCTATCGGAATTTCGAGTTCCCTTAACGTCATAGTGTATATAGCCTGGAGAACTCGCTCGCCCGAACAACTTTGGCAATATCTTTGGAGCACAATTGTCTGCAAGGGATGACACCTCTTGATGCATATTTTGCATTGCGCCCTGGGTGCGCTGTTGATGCTTCACACATGTCGAAGTATGTGGGAAGAATGATAGGAGGGATAACTTTTCGCGCGTGCATATCAAGCAAAAACATGTGCAAGGGCACCTTTCCCCCTCATGAGGGGATGGGTAAAGTGATGGCTGTACCCACCTTTCACATTCTGCGCAGTGCCCACAGCCAACGACAGCGCTGTAGGCCACAGCTAACAGCTAGGTGTTATAAATTCTTACCCAACGGCTCTGCTGTTTCCCGCGCAGCTCAGAAGCGCATAGGAATTACTCCACAAGCCGGCTGGCACACAGAGATCCCGTACAGTCGCATCACCGGTGCGACAAGCGAGGGCGCGCGGTGCCTGCCCGTCTTACCGCACACTATTGATACATAATTAAACCTCATGTAAGGTCTCAGAGGATTGAGCCGGATTTCACGTGCTGCAGGGGGGATGGCGGTACACCGGGCACCGGCAGCCGTGTGTACAATGTTTAGAACAAACAGTGAAAAACGAGGGGGTAATTGTGTTGACCAAACGCGGCCCCTTCCAAAAGGCCGCATTCTCGCAGGCCAGGCCTGCTCGACCCCGGGGGCCATGGCGCCGCGGGGGACCTCAACCGCTGGCGAGCCTACTCCGGCGCCACCACACACGTGTGCGTGCAGCCCGTGCCCGGGAACGACGCAGGGCGATGCGAGTGGGCCCGCAACTGCAAGCCCTACCGGCGGTCCTTACGTGTCGCACCCCCTCCGGGCTGCACCGACATCGACGGCGAGCACGATGGAGGGCTGGATTTCCCGCACGCTTGCTCAGCTCGGGTTGAGCTTCGAGGACGCCCAGATGGAGCGCGAGTACGAGATGGCCATGGGGACGGCCCACTTGAAGTTCGACAAGACGGCGCTGGCTGCCCTCTCGGTGCTCACCACATGGGCGCTCTGCCGCCCGGTGGGGAGCGTCGGCCTGCTGTACCGCCAAGCGGCGGTTCTGGCGGGTGCGACCATCCCCATTGTAGCCCTGGCTTTGCTCGCGGCCAGAGCGGCCCTTCTGCGCAAGGAGTGCACCGCCGGGGCTGCCGACGTCCGGCTGCTGGGCGCCCCCCGCGCGCAAGTCGTCGTGGCGCTCCGGATGTGGTACGTGCTCCTGGGGCCCGGGCTGGCGTCCTCGCTGGGGCTGAGGTTGAACCGTTCTGGGCCCCTGGTGCACCTCCTGATCAACGAGGCGGGCACGTGGGTCTTGCTGCTGGCCAATTTCGCGCACCCGCTGCCCTTGAAACACAGCGTGGCGGTGCAGGCCGCGGGGGCGTGCGTGGTGGCCGGCATCCACGCCCCGGGCGCCTGCACCCGAGCCGCAGTCGGTCCCGCCGCTTCGGAAGCCGTCGTGCGCCTGTGGGAGGCCGCCTCCCGATGCTGCTGGTGGCTGTTGAGCTCGATGTATTTCCTGAGCGGCGCGGGCATGCGGGCGGTGCCGGCCGCCCTGCCCGCGTGCCAGCACGTGACGGCGGCGTTCCTGATCGCGGCGATGGCGGTCACGACCCTGGCGGGGAGGCTGGCGGAGCGCGCGTCCAGGCGGCGCTTCCTGCTGGAGCGCACGGGCTGCGAAGGGGTCTGGCGGGCGCAGGCGGCCAGCGCCGTTGCGGGGCAGGTGGCGCTCATGTCGGTGTTCTTGGCCGTCGCGTGGGAGGTCACGGGAACGTGGTTTACCGGCAATGACCCTGGGGACGTGGCGGTGTGCGGTGGGGTTGGGGCAAGGGCGGTTTAATGGGCGAAGACTACGAAGACTGAGCCCACGGTGGGGTCATCCCAGTGGATGTGTTGGATGGGATGATGTGCACTCAGTCAAATCGCGTGCTTCGAGTGTGGAACGTCAGCACTTTGATAGGGTTGATCGCGGTTGGTGGAATCCGAGTTCTCGCGATTGCGTTGTAGTTTAATTGCTTGGCTGATATGGGAGCAGGGAACGTGGGCTGATTGCTTCAGGGCGGCTGCAAACAACTGTGTGCACAGCCACAACAAGGACAATTAACAGTTCGTCCTGGGCCAACAGACAACAAAGCTGTTCTCTCATCCCGCAACGTTGTGAAGGCGTCCGGGGTGTGCAAGTCTATGTGCAGGGAAGCCGAACAAAGGGTGAGGGGAAATGGCAGTGCGACATACACAGCACCACTTCTTGCATCATGACCGGCTGATCAGCAACAAGCATCTAGACGAGAGTTTGATTAGAAGGGGAGCGATTGCTTGGCTAATGAATTCATGAGTATATCATATGATTAACTTGGTTGATTTATCGGAAAGCCGAGCAAAGAAGACCTGACTGTGCGGTCACGTTTCGGGTCCCACGTGCAGGGCCAGGAGTATCCCTGTGGTACCTTTGCTAGCAAAGATGCAGAGACTGCTGCCACTTCTACCAAAGAACGACCGGGGTTCTTTAGTCACGGGTGATACAGCGACCATCTTGGTGCCGACCTTGTCAATGCAACACTCTAGGTATCAGCGCCCGAAGCAGTCGGAGAAAGTGGAGCAGACTGTCGCGGTCCTGGCTGGTGCTGCGTTTCTTTGTACGATATCTGGAAACTTCCCAAGACGTGACGGCCGGAGCATCGCGCAGCACATCATGAGATGCTCATCAGCAGCTGCGTCCTGCGAGAGCGAAATCGAAGGTGAACACAGATATGCTGCTGTGGCCGTGTCATGTCTATAACGGCCATTCACAGGAAGCCATCGTCTTCCAGGAACTGTTCCAGCATAAATTCTGTTCGAGCTCGTGGGTGCGCCGCTGAGATTTCTGTCGAAAAATCAACGGCGTCCGGGCGAATATTCATTGCGATCACAGCTCTATGTGTTGCGCCTTGCAGCGGTGTCTTGATTAATATAGATGAACGTTTGCTGTCCGCAATCGAAACGCATGAGTGCAGCGAAAATCCGAACACGAGTCGGGACAATTGAGCGAAACTCGCAGAGGTAATCAGAGGGAATACCTATCGGTGTCAGGCAATCTACCGGCCGCTCGTACATGGTTCCATGACTTTTCTTAAGTGATGCCACATAAGTGGGAGGTATTCCAATTCTGCAGACAGCTACCAGAATTGTCCATGTCCAGTGCAAGGATCACATGTGCATGCAAAGCGGGCACCCGCCTTCGCCTAAGGTGCAACACCAAATCATTCAATGATACCCCTTCTAAGTTACTGGAAATTCAATCAATGGACCGTCTCAGTGGACAATGGCATCATTATTCTTAAGAACATCCAATGGTATTATGTATTTCTGAGCCTCTCGGCCGAAAGTTGCATATCATGGATATGGAACAGGACTCTGGCTTTCCCTCCCTTATAGTAGTCATGGCGAAAAGGGAGAAGGACACCAATATACTGGGTTGTGGGGTGGGGAGTGGGCGTGGGGGTGTGGGTCAAGATGTTACAAACATGCACTAAGTACATTCAGGCCCAGGAGCAACGAGGCTATATCAGGCGGACCGAGGGCGGCAGATATCACCCGGCCAGTGTTGGTCCAAAAACCCAGCAGCCAGATCCAGGTCCAGCAATATGGAGGGCATGAATCCCCTCGGCAAGCAAAACAGGGGTGCCCCGTGTGGGTGTGGTCGTACGTGCGGGTGGTGTGTGGGGTTGCGGCCAGGCTGCCTACGCTGAGGCCCAAACGCCTCAAAGCATTGCTGGGCTCGTGGTTGAGAATTTCGTGGGGCTTCCATTTTTGTAGGGCACCCCTTTGTCGATCCCGGCATTGCGCCCTTGAACAAGCAGCTGTTGTGCCCATCTCGTGACCTTTGCTCATCCCCGTATTGTGCCTTGAACAGACAGCTGTTGCGCCCGTCTCATTTCAGAACATGACGCAGCGCCAGATAGTTTCTCACCCGGTCTGAGGCCGATGGTCTGTGCTTAGGCCGGCAGCAGGCAGAGTGGCTCGTGAGGAACAAAGGTCTGCCACAGCTCAGCACTGAGCAGCGAAGGCGAATTTGTTCTGCGAACAGTTTGTGATCTTAATGGCCTGGCCACGGATATTGCCGATATCCCAAGAGACTGGTTAACGGGGCGCTGGGCATTCGATCGATACGGAGACGGCCTCCATCCAATGTCTGAACTGAACAAATGGTCTCAAGCTCTAGAGGTGTTTTTCGAGACTCCTGATGCTGTACAACATTGTTAAATTAGGTTGATGAAGAGCACAATCCCGTTCACATTGAAAGATGGAGTGAGTGCGACTTCCTTGGCATGGAGATTAATTGGTTCGCATGGATTTGTGAGGCAACTCTTGCAGGCTGATCCGAACCCTCTTGCAGAAAATGGTACACAGGCGCCCGAGGCTGGCTATCGGCTGCTATCCCAGGATGGCCTCCTTGTCCTCGCGGCATTCGACCCGGAGCGTCGATGATGGTGAACTCCCTGAGTTGCGCACAAGCATTGCACTCAGTGAAAAAGGTGTGGTGATGAGCTGGTGGCGATCACACTGGATCGAGGGCGTGCATCCAGTGCAATCCAAAGCCTCCCACATAATTCTAGTCGGTGGCGTTGCTGCCCGCACGCTGAATTGCAGTCGGAGGTCTGTAACTCGTGTTGCTCAATTGGCAACACAAAGACATCTAGCGGAAAGGGTGCACATTGGGTTCATCAGCGACATTTCTACCTATGTCAGCATTTTCGCAAACGCCTGCCAATTCTGCACAGGCACCCTTCCTGCACCTCGCTCTACCAATGGAACCGCTGGAGGGGCATTTCAAAGCTCGCCAACTGGCAATTTTTTGATGGAGGATCTGAGACTGTAGCTGCTTTTTGGTGCCTTACTCGCACTCTCGCTGCAGACGCATGTGTGCGGGGACAAAACGTTGCGCAGCGTATGACATTTCCACGACACCAACACCTCCTTAGCCCAATAGTGGGAGTCTAACGATACCTCTGACCGGTGGCCAAAACTATGGAAGCTGGTGTCTGTTGAGAGATGCTGTTTGCGATTCCCTTGTCCAGACTTCAATTGACGCACTTTACCATTGCCTAGCCAGTCATTGAGCCCCGTGGCACTGTGCCACCAGCAAACCAAGTCAAGAAGAGCACCATCGCTGGCCAGCTGGTACGATTCTGAGGTTGGCCGAGGCGCTCGCAATCAGGTTGTGTCGGTCAATCAAATGCATCATCTCTCATTCTGCAGGGCACTGACCTTTTCGGATCTTCTCGCAAGCAGCAATTCCACAACTTCATTGTGGCCACGTTTCGAGCACTCATGAATTGCCGTGTTACCTTCCTGAAGCACGAGAACAATACTGATGGCATCACAGGGCTGGCAACGAGGGCAGGTCATGCAGCTCGGTCGCAACGCACACAGCATCATTCCCCAGGCTGACCAATGTTCTAAACGTCAGACTACGCGTCTGTATCTTTGTGCCTCGCCATGTCAACATCTCGCCCAGCCGCTACGTATTCAGTTTCAGGTTGACAGCAGCTACCACAGAAAGCGCAGCATGCAGAAATGCAGGAGCTACTTGTCTTCAACAGAGGTTCCACAGTCGGGTTACAGCCAACAGTTTCGTTTTCCCCAAGCTCATGGACATCGTGCGCCACTGTCTGACTGAAAGTGCACACGTCATTCAGCACAACATGCGCAGTTTACAATCCCTACAACTTGCAAACACACGGGCCCAGCAAAAAGTGCACAGACGCAAGAGCAGATCAAGACACTGGCAAAAGCACCTTGTTCTTGATCAATATGTCAGCGCCATGGTCCAGCAATGCTGAGACGACGTTCGTGTGCCCCTGTGCGGCAGCAATCATGAGCGCGGTCCCTCCGTCCTGTGCAGAAGTATTCACCCACTTTCAAACGACAAAAGTTCCCTTTTCGGAACGTCATCAACAGCGCAACAGCTTCAATGTGATGCATGTACCCTGAAAGCCGTAACGGCGGCAGCAACCCAACATCATCACAATTTGCAAACGGCAAGGCTCTCTGCGGCGGAGTTGTGCAAATTTTCTCAAAGCACAATGGGAAATCGAGGCACATAATGCGGAAAATGGCCTCTGCCAACATCGTGCTTCGAGTGTTGTTGGCATTAACAAACACACATGGTAATCACCTCTTTTTGGGTATCCACTTCAACACCCTCGCCCAACAGCATGATCGCAATATCGTAGTATCCCTTGGACGCCGCAAGCATGAGAACAGTCCACCCATCCTGCAAGAGCCCGCAGCGCAACCTCAGCAACGCATTCTCGCAGAACGTGTTTTTGGGCAGCGCCAAACGACCAAAATAGCTGAAGCGTCAGCTGAGCCCACCACATGGTAATTTGGAACCCGTCTGGAGGATCAAGAGCATGTCTATCAGAATAGTGTATGTCTAACAGATAATGTCCCGCAGAACTATCAGCTCTCCTACAGACATTCAGAAACGACAACGCACAAGTACAGACAAACATTCAAAATTAGGGAATGAAGGCACACACCATCCCCAATGCACAGCCATTATTCTTTATCTTATGAATAGGTACAGCAGACACGGCCACTAGACACCTTGTTTTGAGCCTCAACATCTGCTCCCCTGTAGATCAGGAGGCTGACGATCTTGTCGAATCTGTTCAGTGTTGCAAACATCAGGGCAGTCACACCATCCTGCACACCACAAATCAAAACGTCACAGAGCAGTCATTCATCTAATTTTTCACTTCGACAGCAGCGCTACCGGACTTTTGTGTCTTGCCAACCTCGTTGCGTGAGTAAGTAAATCAAGGATGCGGTACAAGCTGAAGTTTTGAATGCAGTCAAGATGCAGACATCCAGAGAAAAATCATGCATTGAAGCACAACATCCCAACAAGAAAACTTGGGGCTCACATCGAAAACCAAGCATTTGTGATACACGGCAATTCAAAATTGGATGTACAAAAGAAGTGCAAGAAATGCAAGAGTGGCACAGCCATACACAAGCATCATGAGAGGGTGTGCAAGCTAGGCCTGCTGAGTGACACTACAGAAGCAAAGTCTACGAATAAACACGCCACCCACTTCATTCTCTATGTCCACGTTGGCACCGTGGTCAATGAGCAACTTTGCAACCTCCAGATTTCCTTTCCCAGCTGCAAGCATCAATGCTGTCCTCCCACCCTGGCACACCAAAACACAGGGGCCACACTTCATGTTAGTTCAGAAATGTTGGGTGTGAGCACGTGACCTTGCGGAAATTGTGGGGTGTCTTTGTCTTCCCAACAGTCTCAAGGCATTGAGGAAATGCTGCGACTCTGATTGGGCAACAAACAGTTACAGCGATGCCAAATGTGACACGACTGTATGCTGGCATCAGCAACGTGTGCTCAACCTCTTACCTTGAATTTCGTATCTATGTCGACATTCTTTTCAAGCAGCTTCTTTACTATATTCACGCGGTCTTCCTGTACTGCAAGTGTCAGCGCTGTGCTCCCGTCCTGAATCGTTCAAGGGCAAAACACAGGCCGTCACAAAATCAATCAAGACAGCTGAAGTTATGCAGGGACGTATTACGTTTACTGACGTACAAAGACAGGCGCATCAACAGGCAACCTCTATTATCATGCTGTAGATCCCTGGCAAAACTCGTGAAACTGGCAGGAACATACACACTTTGAAATTAGGGATATTGACACAAGCAATGCCACAATTGTGAAGGTTTCTACAACTTCCAATTTCATCCAGTTATCTTGCCCATACGCAAGACTGCAATGTCCGTCTCTTTGTGGTTCCGCTATCGTTTTAGGCACAGTTGGCAAGTACTCTGGCTATGCATTAGTGAACATGACGTGACACAGCGTGACCTTGCCTCACCTCTCTTTTGGCATCTACAGACGCTCCGCTTTCAATCAGCACCGCCACAACTGCATCGTGGCCTTCGAAGGAAGCGCACATCAGTGCAGTATCCCCAAACTACAACACAACAATTGAGCACAACATCCTAAGCTTCCAGCGAAAGTCATTACACTGGACTTCAGCTCAAACAGAGTGAGGAAGCAACGGCAGCCAAGGAGCCACATGGCAGATACTCGCATGCCAAGAGCTGATTAGAATTCAGCACCCAAATCAGCTAACATGCGGCTATTGTCTCCAACAGAAGATACCTTGTCACGGGCGTTAAGGTTGGCTCCATGGTCGCGGAGGACTTTGACGACTTCAACGTGGCGCTTCATCGCGGCATAAATTATTGCTGTCCCACCATCCTGCACGAACGCATGTAAATCTTAGCAGTTCAACAGCAGCTTTTAAGCGTGCAGTGGCTGCATTTCTCAGATCGGGCATCTTTTGCCTGTGGACACTCAAAGCAACGGCAGTAAGCAGCCTAAGAGAATGGTAGTCAACCTTGAAAGTACCTCGCTTCGAGTCTCGATGTTGACGTTCCTTTCGAGCAGCGCAACCACCACCTTGTCGTGCCCATTCAAAGATGCATATATCAAGGCCGTCATGCCATCCTGCACACTCCAGCACACAACACATTCAGCCAGCAATGGCACAAGGATGCACAGCATCCCAGGGATGGCGCACTATGTGGCACTCTTTGGCCACCACGTGCCACAGCGTTGCCAGATACTGTGAATTCACGGGAGGCACCTCCAACTGGCCCAGACAGAGCATTCCAGCAGCTTCAGAATATCACAGATCTCGGTGGCATCCCATAACTTTCGCCACAATGGTCTGTGTGTGCCCTTTTGGCCATGCACACTGGAGAGAAGGCCAGAACCTGGTGAAGCACTGCCACTGTCAGCAAAAGAGCTTATGCATACGGTTGGTCTGCAGGGCATCCCGAGGTACCACAATCTACCTGCCCTCCACTGCATGAATGATGCTGTCCACTTGCACAGCCCTTGCATAACATATGAACAATAGCATGCGACAGCAATACTGCCAGATAAGAACCCGATGTGTTTTTGCACCACCTTGTTCTGTGCCTCTGTGTTGGCGCCTCCATTCACGAGGGCGTCCACTACTTGCAAGTGTCCCTCTTGTGCAGCGATCATCAGCGATGTCCAGCCATCCTGGAGAAAACGGACAAAGAACTGAGCCAGGCAAAAGCCATGTGCAATTGCTGGCAACTTGCTGAAGACGGGCAGCATTTCATCTTCCCCTTAGACCTTGTGTTAGGTGTTGGATTGTCCCCAGAGCGTGTTGCATCAACTTTGCTTACTGACCGACACATCTTTCAAATGCGCTGCCATCGGTGAATGCAACTGCATGGCACTGTGCACATGGTGAGTCACCGCCTGTTCAAGGTTTCATACAACCGTGCATGCCATATGTGTGGCCACATAATATGCAGTACATATAGCACACCTTCCATGGGTGGGGCCATACAATGGATGTGTGTGCTGCTGCATTAGATATGCATATGTGATCTGTGAGTATCAACAAATCTGCGGTGGCAGTCCGAGATGCTGTGCACAGTTGCAACTCATGACTCTCCTGACCCTAGGCCTGGTCCTGATATTGCAACACACGAGCAGGCACACACAAGACACAGCAGCTGATGGCTGGAAGCCTGATGCACATGCACTGATAAGCAGCAATCGCAGACAAGCTACACACCTTGTCGCTGACATCATGATTGGCCTGCCTTGATAGCAGATACTGCACCGCTTCGCTGCGTCCTTTCGCAGCAGCAAGCATCAAGGCAGTCCATCCATCCTTACCAAAACAAACAAAAAGGAAGTACATGAGTCAGTTGGGCTGTCGCACGCCGCATAGCATTGTCCAATCAAGAATGGGCGCAATGTGCAACATGTGGCACTGCTGTGCTGTACCATGCATAGAAACCAGGGGGACAGTCACAATCTTGCAACCAGGTGTCTTTCAGCACTGTACTGGCCATTCTGCAGCTGCTATGTGCAATTTGATCAAGATCTGTGGATAGCATATGTCTGACTGTTATACATGCACTGTGACACAAACAACTGTTCGATGGGATTTACTGTTTTACCTAGTGTTAGTATCCGCCCCCAATTAGTATCCAAACCCCTCTGTGGGTTTGCAAATCACACTAGTGTCCATGAAGCGCTGTTAATATCCACCCCAGAATTTCAATGGAAACGAGTTAAGAGGGCTCGTTGGATTCACCTTGAGGAGAGGAAGCTAGTTTGTATGTATTTGCTTGCACAACGCTCTTGTTGCACGCATTCATTGTGCAACAACTGCTGCAAAGTTCGTGCTTTGTGGTTACAACACGATTCATGTGATGGCTGCACACATTGCATCTTGCACGGTTAGTCTGATTGGTGGGAAAGAGGCTGTTTGCTTATCGAACAACTGCAGGCCATGCATCCATGGTACAGTGACAGGCCTGCAGTCGTCTGCAGACATGCAGGCAATGCTTGTTCCCTTCACCATTCTTGCCATGGCGCATGCCTCCGCAGCAACCACACTGGCTCCCAAAGCACCCAGCAGCGCAGCAGCGATTGCAAAGTGCATCTCGCCACTTCAACCGTATACAGTGTGGCCTGTCAGCCACAAGCATTTCTATGCACTCATTCTGCACTTTCCAAGGCCGTTTTGGGGCATTTTGCGAGCTAGCCTTCGACTTGTTCTTTATCTACTCCCTGGATCAGGGGTCTAAACAGCGTTCATATCCATGGCCCATTGTTAGTTACGCTGCTACTGATTTTGGAGGTCCAGCATAAGTACACTAAAAATGGTAGATACATAGCAACATGAGCTTGTGCTTAGTCAGCAATTCAACCCTTGCTTTCCTGGTGGCACTGCCACAAGGAGCTAAGGGCAGTGGCCTAACCTTGCAACGCGCCTCTAGGTTTGCTCCACTATCAAGCAATGCTGTCACAACACCAGTGTGGCCCCCCCTTGCAGCAACCATCAGCGAAGTCCAGCCCTTCTGAAACCACAAATGCACCCACTGCTCAGCAAATTCGACTGTAACGGCCTGCAGTTCAAGTTCATAGCACCCCACGTATCCACTAAGACAATGGAATGTCACGCTTGAACACATTGAGCGAAAGAGGATATCACATTTACCAAAGGAATTGGATCAAGCAACATACAACTGTGCACTCAGAAGCTAAGCTCTTGTGAAAGGATGTGCATTCATGGCTGAGATGTCTGCAGCAATCAAGATGCAAAACAGTCTTGCCATAGGGGTACATAAGCTGCCATCAACATATTCACGCATGGAATTTTAGCTTGCCCAGACTGCAAGATGTCGGCATCTCTGTTCAGAAATCAATTTGTGGGCTTCTTGGAGACACATGCCTGGCAACCAATTGCACTGCTGTTTGGCTAAGGTTCCTGCATTCTGAAGAGCCTGGGAGAAGCACAGGCACAGCCAAACATGCAAACCTATTTTCAGGTCCTCTCAACATGACAGGAGGGCCGAGGAAGGCATATGTCTTAGCAGACTTCTGGGGCAATTGCCTTAAGCGCAGCAGCTACATTCGTTCTCATGGCCTCACCGTGTCACTAGCCTTGAGGTTTGCACCGTGCTCCAGCAAAAAGGACACAATTTCGGTGTGTCCTCTCTCAGCGGCACTCAACAGTGCAGTCCAGCCATACTGCAGAGTGCCAAAGCAAGATCGCATGTCAATCTATTGGCCAGCAGGTGCATTCAATGACCTGATCCCAGTTTGTTCACTTGCTTCTATTCAGGTTTATGTAGAACGGCAGAATCTGATGCACAGAGCAACACCAGCAGTGGATCGAGTTTCGATTGAAATAGCACAAATGTAAGTCCCCTGTCCCTGAAGTCTAAAAAATGAGAATAGCGTGCTGGTTGGCCAAAACATACACAGTTTGGCCACTCGACAGCCACATGATCACCTGTTGATCTGGGATGAAGACAAAATTTTGGAACAAAGTTTCTCAGGTTGCAATGGCTTTCCATCAACACTTTACAAGCATTTCGTCAGCTTTGGGAGATATGCTGGGAAGAGATACGTATAACATGGAGCCACAAGCAATTTGCATGGTGTTGACCGCCTCTTGCTTCTCTCATGCCATCCAAGTGCCTTCCATTTTACAACTAGAGGATGTGTGAAATATTTTCTAGTGAACAAAGCCAGCAGTGATATGCGAGCAATCTTGTCTACCATGGATCGAGTGTGGAAAGCTGAAGGCACACAATATCAGGAAACATGAATGGCGTTCTTGATGTCAGGCTGGTACTGCTTTCATTTTGTCGTACAACCTTCAGAACTTTGTGCTGCGGATGATTCGTGAAGAGGCAGTTGCAAGGGAACACAGGGTGGTACTAGTGTGGAAAAAAGAAGTGGTCAGCATCACCTTCCCCGTGGCTTCAATGTTAGCACCATTAGCATACAGTGCTTTGACAATTTCAAGGTGACCTTCTTGTGAAGCAAGCTGCAGAGCAGTGTAGCCATCCTGTACAAATGAACACCATACACACAAACATGAGATTCACACATTCACACTCTCAAGTAAATGGGCAGAGAAAGTAAAGGAGGTTGCTCTCAAAATTGATGGAAGCAAATTTGCGCTGCGAGGAACTACGATATGGGGACATTGAAAGGGACTGCTGGGATGCTTCTGTCCCAGCTAACACTGAAGAGGTGGGAGCACTCTGTTTGTCATGTTTGTATAGAACTTGTATGTGGTGCACTGCAAAGCTGCTCCAAACATACTGTGCTGATAGTTACACACAGATTACCCAAATGGGTGCATGATGTGAGCAGCTGGCGTCCAGGTTAAATTCCACTTTGCCTATCCATGGCCCCACCACAACCGATATTCTTTTCCAGACATCAAGTCACAAACGGACTGGATATCAGGTGAGCCACACAGGCAGCGTTTCTGACACTGCATTAGTGAATAAAGGCACCAAAGATACATTCACGCTTCACCTTGACGGTTGCACCTTCGACTTCGGCACCCATTTGCAGAAGACAGTGCATAATTTCCACATGGCCATGCAAGGCTGCAGACACCAGTGCATTGATGCCATCCTGCATCCACCACGCACACAACCTGTGAACAAACGATCTGCCAGCTGCATTCTGAGGATCCTTTGCATCTCCTCTTGCTATGCAACGCCAAGTGCAGTGCCAATATTCTGGGCACTCACAAAGAAAAGCACGGCGTTCCCAACACATCGTTCCACAGCATGGAACAGAGTCTCAGGCACACTTGCTTAGGCGGGGGCACCCTTTGTATGACTCATTTGCTTCTGAAGTGCTACGAACAATACTGAACACAGCAGCAGCCTGCATATGAAAGTCGAACAAACGTATTCTCTCACTTTCACATACATCGCCTGTATGGGGTTGTCAATCACACGTCCACAATGGCTCGCCAGCCCAGGCAGCTTTTGCTGCTCCCTATCTTTTGTGCTGAAATATGTGTCTTTTCTACAAATCGGTATTGGGGTACACTTAGCCCACACTGAACACCGCAAAGACAATAACACACAATGACTAAACAGAAACTGCCTACCCCAGCAGCCCATTGCTTTTGCAACATGCAATGTAAGGTCCTCTGCAGGTACAGCTTGGCTCCACACAGCAGTGTGCTCATGTGTGCAAGAAATTGGCTGGAGCCATTGAAATCAGGTGCAACAATTAACTGCCAAATGCTATGCACGTGAGGTGGCCAATGTTTATCATACATCTGTCTGGGCATCCACGTCGGCCTCGTTGTCAAGAAGGATTTGGGCCACCTCGACCTGACCCTCCTGAGCAGCTAGGATAAGGGATGTGTGGCCATCCTATGCAAAGCAGCAGAATGATGTCAGTCGCAGTTGCTTGTGCAAATGATAGGGCGCACAGCAATCTGGAGCAGGCTTCTCTGCAGATACACCAGCTCTGAAAAGCTCTCAGAATGGACACCCAATGTTGCAAAAGATCTATGGCATCTCATTAAGCTGAAACTTGTCATTTTATTGCATCTGTTGGATGCAACAGCACAACATGTATGTAAAGCTGCGCTCAACATAAAGAGTGTTTGCGCAAAACACCCAGCGAGTTTGCATGTCTGCAAGGTGTGCATGCTTGCCATCGAATGAAATGCCACATGCGTCGTCCAAATACTTGATCCCGCACATGTTCATACTCACTGAGAAGCGAGCAAGGGCTCCTTGAACAATCCAAGCCTTCTCACACAATTCACCAAATTGTGCATTTGCACTGGATATATCTATTGAATATGAGACACATAATGATGAGAAGTGCCAATCCAAACAGAAACAACAAGTGCAATCAAGTGCACCAGCATGTCAACAGCACCTTCGCCTTGGCATCAATGTTTGCGCCTCTGTTGAGCAACTCTTCAACGATTGCTGCATGTCCATTCATCGTGGCAGCCATCAATGGTGTCCAACCTCCCTGTTGTGTGCTCAAGTTATTGAGGAATAGCTAAGCAGAGGGGAAACTGGCAGAATCATAGCGAAAACAAGTGGTAAAGCAACTACGGAAGTTCCCGAAAACCTTAAATGGTACTGTGACACAACAGTTGGCATCTTTTCCATATCCAGCATCTGCACAGCATCGATGTGCAGTGGCGATTGGCATCTTAACATGCAAATCGAGTCAAGTACTTGAAGTTTGGCCCAAGAATGGGCCATCTAGAATCATAATGATATGGGCCAGTAAAGTCCATGAATCTGTTGATATCCACACCTCCCCACAGACATAACATTTAACTTGTGGATTCCCATCCGGCATGAAAGTTGGCCTTCTCTTCTTGGTTTGTTGATCCTTTGGAGTGGCAAACAGATGGCTGGAACAGATGCAAGTGGATGGCAGCATTATATCAACATATTTGCTATGTCTACAGTTTTCCTATTTTGCACATCGTGTGTCTGCTTCCATCACCAATTTTGACGTAAGCACTGCACTCTGCCCCATGCATGAAAATTCATCACAAGCTATTGTCAACTCCTGAAAGCATGTGGCATGGCACGAATAGGCCCTGGTCTTCATCGCACCTTGCTTCGGGTCTCAATATCCGCCCCTTTGTCCAGTAGGCATCTAACAGCTTCAACTTCGCCGCTGAATGCAGAGTGAAACAGTGCAGTCCATCCCCGCTGCACCAGATACAGCCAAATGCACACAATCAGCACGGCAGTGACAACATCACGATCATCATAGGAAGACAGCATCAACATTCAAGTACAGTATTCTGAGCTGGCACGTTTTGAGAACTGTTTTGAGATCCACCTATTTCAGGCAACCAAAATGCATAGTTCACAGGATGAAACATTGTTCAACTGTAGAGTAGGATGCCAACAGCTGACATGTACCCAAACTTACGCAATGTGTAGGCAAGTTAAGAAGTGCAGAGGTTTTTCTTCTTTCCACTTAATCCAAGGTTCACATCCCAATTTAGAGCTTGAGAAGCATTGGGCTGCTGCTACAAGCCTGGATAAGACAAACGACATTCTGCGCATTTTGAGAAGCAAATGTTGCAATCCGGCTATCACAAATGCCACAGGCTGAACATTATGCTGCAAGCCCACAAGGCAGTCGACACGACCCACAATGATGGTCGGTTGCTGCCGATTTGTTCTGCAGTACCTTGTCTTCGGCTTCAACCTTCGCTCCCTTGTCCAATAGGGCTGCAACAGCTTCATGGCGTCCGCTTTTTGCTGCTTCCATTAGTGCCGTGCGGCCATCCTGGTCGAGTCGACACAGCACAATCTGAAGGTACCGGAGGTAATGGACACTGCTCGATTCGATTTTCCTGCGTTTTTTCCGATGCACTCAAGATGCTTACGGGATGGAGCAGCATCTCAATGCTGCAAAGCTGCAAATAGACAGAGGGCCTTCTCCTTGGAAGATCCGCGGGCAGGTGAACTGCAGGTGGAAGGTGAGGACACCTATTTCTGAACATCGTACACCATGGTGGCAAGCTCCAAAGAGCTGCTATCAGACCATCAACAACCATGTGTGGACCTACGCTCATGTCCAGGCTTTTCTGTTCCTTTCAGGTCAGTGACCAAGCTCACTGACCCCACAGAAGTCTGACATAATTGTGATGCGAAACAGGAAAATGGCAGATCCCAGGACAAGGTGCATCGACACCTTCTAGACAACACCAGTACCTCCTATTCCCATACTTTCCTCAGAGGGCCTTAGTTTGTCACTTTGCCATTGCACTGAACCCGTGGCTGGATGAGGCAATGCTTCTATTTCTTTCAGCATTCTGGATGTCTGGGACCCGAGTCGTTCAAAAGCTGTGGGACACAAAGTTGAAGACATGCGCACTGCCCTCCACATGCCTTGTACGTGGCCAGGACTTGCCGCGGTAATTATGTGCACACGCTATGGATGGATTGAGAGACACACACGCACGCACAATGCGGCTTCGGCCGTGGGGCCCTGGCAGTGGTCCACGTCCAGCGCCATGTTTCCTTCTCTACAGTGTCAGAAGGGTCGAGGGGTCCCGGGCCATCAGGTTGTCTTTAGGCAGATTGTGGGTCAGCTTCTGCATTCTTTTCTATGAGAGGATCAGCTGGGCAGTTGCCTTTGTAGCATGCTGCACATTCTTCATGGCTATCCGAACACTTGACAATGCGTGACTTGACCCGTTGTGGTTGCGCGCTAGGATAGGAACATTTCTTGTTTGGTGTCCTGCTGCTAAGGATGCATTTACATTCACATTTTCACACATACACACCTTCTTTGGCTTCTCTGTGCTAGCCCCCTTGGCAAGCAGGATGTCAACAATTTCCAAGTGTCCTTTCAGTGTCGCCAGGGCTAATGCTGTCCAACCATTCTGTGCGCAACCCAAACAGATGATCGTCCAAAATGCCACACAGCAGAAATGCCAGATCACATGATTTAGTGAGCCAGTGACTGAAGGTCCATGTGCAGATCACAATGCCATCAAGCTGACGTGATCTAATTCTGCTGCATAGTAGAGCGCTGTACCCTTCATATGTGAAATGATGTTTCCTGGCTTTCCGTATTCCTTGAGGCGGTTAGGATACGGAACAAATGTGACATACCCACCGCGATGGCATGAAATGCAGGGTTCAGGACTACAGAAAATTTCCATTAATTTAATTTTTAATCAATTAGATAATTTCTTTGCAGACCTGTCTGCTGGCATGCTGCTTGGCATCGACCTACAGAGAGGAAGCCTTGAGTTGTGTAGAATCGTGTTCCAAACATCAGTCCACGACATCAGTTGCTGGCATGCTGCTTGACATCGAACTACAAAGAGGAATATCTGAGTTGTGTAGAGCAGTGTTTCAAAGCCAGTCTGCAACATCAAATACTTGATAAAGATGCTGTACCCAGATATTCTAAACAACGTAAAATTGCACGCCGGAATCGGCACATCAGGTGCTTGTCCTCTGTGCAGGAACATTTGTGTGTGAATACCATGCAAACTGCATATATGAAGTGAAGACAATGGCAGAATCAGAACGCAAGAACCTTGCTGCAATCCAAACATGTCAGCACAGCAAAAGGGGAGCCATGTTCACAAGAACAGGTTCAATGCACAAGAGTGGCTCCATCAGTTGGCTGAGGCCGATTGCTTCCTGACTCGAATACAACATCAGCACCACTGGCAATCTCCATCAGCAACGTGGGTCCAATTTCAATAGTTATGGATCATCATCTGCAAATCCACACACAGTGTGTGTCACATACCTTGCATTCGGTGTCAATATTCGCTCCAGCATCGGCCAGCATCTGGACAGCTTCAGTGCGTCCATGAAGAGCAGCATGCATCAAGGCTGTCTTTCCATCCTGTCTCACCCAGGAAAGGCCTCGTCAGAAGATACGTGGATTATCTCACTTTGAACATACATTTTGACAAATGAGAATCAATCTGAAGGTCTGGCACTCAAAAACTAATGTCCACTCCTCTCCGTGTGAAATATGGCAACTTGAGAGCCTCTCGGCACATTGCAATTGGTGCAAGGCAAGGCAAGTTCTAAAGGATTGACAATGAGATGATGAGTTCAAAGACCCTGAAATTTAAACAAATTCAAACAGAGAATGCCAGATGGGAGCCTGCCACAAACCAAAATTCCTTTGCTTGTGATTGCTGCTGTGGCATCATTGACAATTTACACACAAAGGCGTATGAGGAACCAACACACTGGAGACAATGAGAACCAAGCACAGGACCAGTTCTCGTCATTTTTGATGCGAAGAACTGAATGGACCAAGAAGGGCGTGCTGGTGGCCAGGCAGTTGACTGCAGATGCATGAGTAAACGATGAACTATGGCAACCCTGCAAACAACAGCAGCCACACAGCAATAGAAAGGCCAGCATTACCTTGTCCTGTGCTTCCATACCAGCACCTCTGTTCAGCAGAGTCTGTGCACAACCAATGTCCCCCTCCTTGCATGCATCAATTAAAACTGTGCGGCCATCCTGGGACAATTCATGTGGAGCTCTTCAACGAAGTAAACTACAAGACTTGGCACAATATCCAAAGCCACCCATTGATGTAAGGTTAATACATGAAGCAACAAGGCCCACTGACCACTCTTGCAGCTGAAATAGGGCCAATCCAAAAAGATAAAAGGGGACACATAGCAGTCGAACCTAGGTGACTTCACGGCCTTGGCTGCCCAACTCTGGCTGGATCAAGCCCCTGTTCTGGTCCCACATTTCCCTGAACAAAAAACATTCTCATTCCCTGTGCAGTCATGAAATGCTCAAGGTAGACACCTTGTTGTGCTCCTGTCATCTCTCATGCAGCACTACAGCAACCTGCAGCAAATTTGCCAACAGGTACAGATAATCCCCAAAACTTCCCTTCAGGTAGCAGGTGTTCCAGTGAGCAAGACATGGCATGGGGTATCAAGGACTGCACTTCTGTTTATGCGGTTGCAACCCGTCACATTTATGTGAACGGCATTGCCCCGCCTTGCTTTGCATTGCAGTGAACAGGAAATGCTCGTGACAGGTACATTCAAATGTGCAGTTAGAAAGCTGCAGCTCAAACGGGAGTCACACCAAACAACTGTAGCAATGCAATACCTTATCTTGTGCATCTGGGTCAACACCCCACACGATGAGGGCATCCGCAACATCGCAGTGACTGTTCAATACAGCCAGACTCAAGAGACCCCTTCCACTCTGCAAGGAGGCGACACAGAAGAATGCATTGTAATGATGATGTTGGAATCTCGCTTGAGTGCCCAACTATTCCTTTCCATTTGCGTAAAAGATGAACACCTTTTTCCATACAGGACTACCTTCTCTGCCATAACTCAATGCAGACTGTGCAATTATCCAGTCTGTATGGGTGCACATGTAAACCAATAGCAGAGACTGCAACATACTTTCACCACAACCCTAAAAGCAGCAACACTGCAACAGAAAGTTCACGTCAGGGATTTACATTAAATTCTGTTGCACTACATACGATGGGTTCACAGCAAACCAGGTGCATGTCTATACCATGCAAGTATATACCATGCAAGTATATGCCATGCAAGTTCAAGGTGCCAGTGAGTGAGCAGTTCTGCAGTAGCACACAGCAATGAGCCCATCCTCTGCTCCATTCATGGGGACAAAGCTGCAAAACAGCCAATGAGTCCCAGTTCTTCGTGTGCCATTAACAATTCCTACCATGAAGGTTTGCAATCCAGCCTGTCAATGTGCACTGCTATGCAGCAAGTACAGAGCCATGTGAGCCGAAAGGAAACTCCCAAAAGTTACAAGCAGCTCTGGGTCCATTAAAGGCAGTGCTGTAGTCCCAGCCGGAAATAACAATATTCCTATCAAGAAAAATGTTATTTTGGAGTGATGCACCTGAGAAACGATGTCAACACTGGCTCCATGTGCAAGCAATGCATTGGCCGCTTGCAAATGGCCCTTCTCAACCGCATGCAGCAAGGCTGTTGCACCATCCTGGCAAAGCCCAACAGAAAGGAGCATTCAGCAGCAGTGAATTCCCCCATCCACCATTTTGGACAAACCCAGAAATGGCTATCTGTACTTGGACTCAAAAATATCTGGGATCAGGCTACGATGCATTTGAAAACCCTTGACGACACATCGTGGGCACATAAAGTGCCAAACATTCTGCGCTAAAAGCACCAGCTAGGATAAAGTGATTCTACTGCAGCACTCTCAAAGTCCGCCAACCTAAGCACTTGTCCTTCTTGCTGCCAACAGCACGGATGTAGTCTATGCATGTAACATCCACATTCCCTGCAACTTCCATGAATGCACACACAAAGAAGATGCACAATGGGGAATGCTGAAATTTCTCACCTTGCTCTCAGCCTGAACATTAGCCCCTCTGTCCAGCAGGGCATTCACAACATTGAAGTGGCCCTTCTGCGCTGCAAGGATTAGAGGTGTCCAGCCATGCTGTTGCATGCCCAACCAACACAAAGTATGTTCAACTACGGACAAGGACCTATGCAGATTTATGAAAATTTACAGAAACTCCTGCAGACTTTCATGGTGTGTCCATAGAGTTCCCAATCTAAAACAGTGCCTTGACAACGACTCATGCCACTGTGTCTGCACTTCTAACCCAACAGCAGCAGAGGTTGATGGCCAAGGCAAGCACAACATAACTGATTGCCAACGCCTATCTCGAACAAAGGGGCCACGAAAATTCCAACGATTCTGTGCTCAAGAGATCATGTGCCAAGAAGGCACTGTACAGCAGATTACCTTGTTAGCGATCTCAGTACTTGCGCCTTTTTGAAGTAGCAATTCAACATTTTCGATGCACCCTTCTTGTGCTGCAAACATGAGCGCATTCCAGTTGCCATACTGCAGAATTCAAAACCGTAAGTGTTATTCCGCTGGATGATTTTGAGCACAGATTCAGCAGCCTCAAAGACATTGACTTGAAGCCCAGAGAAGCAATATGAATGATGTAATAGCGGGTCGATAGTGGACCAACCTCGCATCTCAGATTGCATGGCCACTCTCCAGTATGTATTGAGGCACTGGGCTCCGCTGATCGAGCCGAAATACAATATACCAGCAAAGGAAAATGCATGGGGCATCTTCAAATCCATCTACAAAATACGTATGCACAACATGGCTGGTTTGAACCAGTTTCCACAACGAGGACAAACAATACTGTGCATCCATAGCAGTTACGAACAAAGGCTTTCCCAGTGGCAGAATGACCATACAGCACAGGTGTTTAATGCTGTCCAGTTTTGTCCCACCTCGTTCAGAATAGCGTTAGGGTCAACGCCAGCACTGAGAACTTCCTTCAATTCCAAGCAGTAGCCTTCCTGAGCTGAACGCATCATCTGCAGCCTCTCATTCTGCACATGCAAAAAACAGTCCACAATACGGTTATCCAGAATTGAGAAGGCCAACCTCGTACATGCAAGGCTGCATGGACACCAATGTGTACAGATAGTGCTGCGATGGACACAAATCCATGATATCATCTGTCAGCATTAGCCATGCCTCTCAAATGCATGCGCAGAGCAAATGCAAATACAGAGGGGCTTCAAGGGCAGGGTGTCGAACCTGCGTTGGCTGCCTCTTTTCAGAGATGTCTTCCACCTGTGGCAATTACGAACTGATGTGAGGCTCATCATTTGTTGTCACCGAAAGCAATCACTGCTAGAGAATGAGCATGACTTCACCTGAAGGGAGTACTGGAAGATGCAAGACATTTGTGGAGTATCTGTTCAGGGATTCAAGGGAAAAGAAATATTGCAAATGTGCCCCCCCCACAAAGAAGGGCACACTAGATCCACTGCAAGGACAACATGTGGTGGACATGGAATACCCACAATACACTCTTGCTCTACAACGATTCTGTTGCCAGCACAATATCAGATCGCCAGCCCTGGCATGGACTCGAGAACAAGAGATCGACTGAGCTTAGCCTGATAGTGACGTTGGCAAAACATTTGTTCGTTGGGTCCATCAGGATTTTGATCCTCACCATCCTGTGGCTTCCCATCCGAATATGTTGGCGCTTACGGACATAAAACAAGAAAACGACCATTGTTGATGTTTTCACTACAGTGGCTGTGGGGGCCAGCCTACAAGAGCACAAAGAGCCAAGTTTGCGAACCAAGTTCCCCGACATCATGAGTAACTTCCTGAATAGATATAGCAGACCTGGAAGTGATGCATTGATTGCCAAGATGTTTTGCACAGTGAATGAGTCAGTTCTGGGGTGCTTGATGCACAGACATGATATCAGAGGGATGTTTTTCTTAACCTCAGCAAGCTTTCAGTCACGATGGTTGCGGCCAGGTTCCCAACACTGTTGAAGTGGAAGATGTCTTCAATGGTGTTGAGGACGACAAGAGCATGGTTGAGCTCTGTAGAAGTTTGAGGGAAAATGAACTGGCGATGGAGGATACAGCAGAGGGCGATGGATTGGAGGTGAATGAGTGAGAATAGAATAAGGCGAAATGAGAAACTTGTACCCAGACCAAAGTGGCTCAGCTGCTGCACCATTGCTAACTTGTGTGCATGAATCTGCGCATGTGTGGAAAGTTTGTGTTCGCTTTTTGCACAGTCTTGAGGCCCCGATTCTTTGCTCAACTGAGACTGACTGAAAGCAGAAAGCATCACTAACCGATGCCCTCCAACGTGACTAAGAGCTCAGCAACGCCCCTTTCATGGACTGCGCCCCCCCTTCCCCTTGCCTAGTGGTGCCCTTTGTATGAACTGTATCTCTTCTTTCTTTTGTACAAATCTTACCAATCCTCCCAAAAGAGAAATAATGGGAGATAGTGGTGACTGCATCATGCCCCCAAATCCATTATACCAATGATCCAGTTATCCAACAAGCTACTAAGCCCGATGCAACGACGCTGCATCATTCATGCTGAATACACTTAGGTCAAGAATGTGTTCTCCTGAGCAGCAACAAGAGTATTCTTTTGCAGCTGGTGTGCACCTGTTGTGGGAGCACAGTCAGCTTCTCAGCCGGTGTGGAGATCTGCACGTGCACACAGTAGTTAGCGACTTAACGACTTTAGGGGAGCCAAAAGATGAGAACTGGATATCTTGGCAGTCTTGTGACCAAGCCCCATGTCTGTTAGTGCATGCAGAACAAAGGCCGGACCTGGGGTTCCATATATGGGGGCCCGGATCTATGCGTGTGACACAGAGCAGGAAGGGGGGCTGGCGGATGGTTTCAATTGCACGGTATGCAATCAATTGACTACACACTTGTCAAAACGTGAACAAGCAAGCCCCTTTGCCACCCTGGCGATGTCAGGCAGGGGAAGCGTGTCGATGGTGGTACACATCTGGCAGTGCTTCAGCAAACATGGCAAATGCCTGCATAGAACATCGGCCATCATGACCAGCGCGCAAAGCTCCTGCAGCCGTCAGAGCCACAACTGAACTGGCGCACAGAAGAATGCAGCCATTTCCATTCCATAAGCAGCTGAAACGACAGCATTTGCAAAGGGATGGACACCTTGATGACATTCGCCTAAAGGGCAGGCTGTGGCCTGGTTATCCTTGTAAGCACAAGATATTGGCTTCAATAGGAGAAGGCGAAAATGCACCACATTCAAAACTCTACATCCCCGGTCACTGGATCCATGTACCAGGATTTGCGAAGCCCTGGTGAAGCACAGGAAAGCACAGAACCCATACACATTGGAAACACTGGCGTGCAACTATTATCGCACAGTGCATCGAAAAACTCACTTCCTCAATGATGCCAAGCAGCATGGCAGTGACGTCACTCATCATGGGCCTCTTGCTGGGGTCTGGGTTCAGGGTGCTCCTTATCAATTTTGAGAACTCGTCTGGCAACAACAGGCAGCCCAAGTCGGTGGACATTCAAGAACTATGCCCAAAGTTGCAACTGGTCCAATCAGTTGATAATGCACCAAACACAGTCTATCACAGTCAGGAGGTGAAAGCCACCTTAATCAAGAGCTACACTGTGACCTTCATCGCAAGGTCGGAACCAATTCAGCGAAGCAGCACAACTGGGGCGAACTTCATCTTGCTGAAGAAATACACAGATTTACATTTATTCCATCCACACTACTGCGATGGCAACAGGTTCTTTACAGCTTCACAAACCTGACCAATCATGAGTGAGCTGCACAATAACACTGCAAGCTCCAAGTGCCAGACAATGTTGGTTAAAGCTGTACATCACTTGCAACATCGCAGATGAAGAGCTGCATGCTATTGCAGCAATCTTCATCTTCTATCAGGCAACTGCTGGTTAAAGGCAATGCACATCACATGCCTTTGTCAAACATCACCGTTTGAAGGAATCTGGATTGTTGACCACTCAGTGGCAGCAAAAAGCAAAACCCCAACAGTAGGGGTGCCAAACTCTGGGGAAGCAACAGCTGCAAGACAATGATGGTGTTGCCAAAACACATTGATCGACCATGGGTGCAATTCTCAATCTTGCCAAATTCCAGCACGGCCTCACTTGGGCATGTCTCCAGATGGGCTCCAGGTTCCACCCATTGCTGCTTGAAGCTCAGGAGCAGTGAACTGTTGCTAACGCCACCGTATGGCTGGGATCCAGCTGCGCACTCGTGCATCGCCAAACCAAAGCTGAACGTGTCAGATTCGTACGTGTGCTTGCCCCCCTGTTGGACCTCTGGAGCCACATACAGCGGCCTTACCCTTGCCCTTGTCCTGCTATATTTGGAGGCAATGCGAAACTCAGCCAGCTTGATCCTGTGGTCGCTCTCCCCAAACACCAAAATGTTGCTCATCTTGATGCCCTGATGCACGATCCCGAAGTCGTGCAGATGCTGCAAAACTGAGGATGCACTTGCCATCAACTTTAGCTTCATGGACCACTTCATCTCTGCCTCATCCCGAAACAGCTGTCCCAATGTGCACCTCGCCAGCTCCATCACGATGTTGTTCGTGTTGGTTACACCGTAGCACTGCACCACACCTGGGTCGTTCATTTGCATGTGGTTCTCCGCCATGCACCGCAGGTTGGCACAGTCCTCCTTGCCAAAGTCGTCCCGGTGCACCTTGACGGCCACGTCCAGGCCCGCCCACCTCCCCTTCAGCACTGTGCCGGACCCGACATGGCTGACAGGCTCCAGATACTCAACATCGGTGTCTTCAATCGTCCGCAGGAAAATGCACGCTGGCCTGTACCCCTCCACCAGTGCCTCCAGCTTCTCAACAGCCCGCGCATCCAGCAGCCCATCCCTCCCCCCTTCCAGTATGCATTTCAGATACCAGTACATGTACCTCCTGTCCGCCTCGATCTGTTCCAACTCAAGGTCCTCCAAGCCCGCCTCCTCCGTCATGTCCATTTCTGACATGCAGTCCTGGAAGTCCAGCAGCAGGCGCTCCACCTCCCCCACGACAAAATCCACCTTGTTGAATGTTTGGTCACTCAGGGGCCCAACATGGCGCCTGATCAGGTCAGCGCCATTCTGAGCCTCCTTGGCGAGGGTGGCAAGCGTGGAGCTGTGGCGCTCCACATCATCCTCTGTCAGCTGGGGGACCACGCCCAACACTTTCTCCATCTCCTTGGACAGGAACTCGAGGGTCTTGGCGTGGTACCTCACTTCTGGCACCAGCTCTGTTGCCGATTTGACAGCCTCTGCAAAGGCTTCCATGTGTTCAGCCATTGCCACAAATCGTGACCACCCTGGAAGCCACAGACAAGATGCTGAGGCAAAGAAAACTTGGCCAGCCGTTGTGGGCTGTGCACGCACCTTTTCCAAACAAAGCAACCACAACATTCTTTTCGGGGACCAAACAGCACAGGGGGAGCCCACGCGTATGGCATGACCGTATCTCTCTACCCGCCTGGAAGTAAATTTCCGCCCTTAAAATGCACTATGGGCAATCCCGCCCATTGCGCCGCGTCTGCGAAGAAAATGCGCCACCGGCCGCGCAGCGCAATCGCCGACGCAGTCCGGCACGCAGATTTCCTGCGCATTGCTAGACACAAAACCGCGGCGAAGATTTCGCTGGCATGGACGTTTGCAGCCTCGGGAGGCGACCGAGCGCGGCAAAGCCGATCGGCATCGCGCCTCAGAGCGCCGACGACGCGGCCAATCCCCTGATGCAGGCACTGGTTGCTTACTCACGGCTTGCAACGGGCAACCCAACGCCAAACGGGGAGACGGCAGGGCGTCAACAGAGTCATCGGCCGCCGCAGATATTCAACGAACGGGCCCCAGGACACGAGCTTCGGCTCCGTGTCCGCGAGCGAGCGCATTCCCTGCACGAAGCCCCCTCGAACCATCAGCCGACAAACAGACTGGTAGCTCGGGCCCCAACACGCCACGCCGAAAACATCCGCGCCCCACACTCTGTTCGCCAGTCGTTGGCGACAGCACCCGGTACTGTACTTCAGCGTCCTGGCCACCAACTACCGCTGAGCGACACGCGGCCGCTGCCCCACAGGGCAGCCGACGCCACCAGGAAGTCAGCATGGGCATGCCCGAAGAAATCACGAGGCCTGGGGATAAAATGCTCGCACAATCAGGGCGCACATCCGCCGCACGCGCTGCCCACACTCTGACCGATCCAATTCTGTGCCCATCCGGAACACTTCCTACTACCGGAGACGCGCCCCGGGGGAGTGGGGCATGGCGCATGTCGCCAGAAGAGCGAGCCTACCCTCGAGCGCCACCACGCTCACCCAGCAAGGACGCGGAGTCGTTGTGGAAGCTCGCCGACAGGGTCTGCCACCTCGGGCCGCTGTACCTGGGCCGAGCCGCAAGTGTGACGCCCACAAGAGGCGCCTCGGAGTAACTTGCGGCGGGGGGGCCTCGTGAAGTTCACCGCCCTCGCATGAGTGAAGTGGCCGGGACTTTCAACGTGGTCGCGTGCACTTCGGCATGACGACTGATGTGACCGTACACACGACGCGGGGTCGAAGCTCCCGTGCGCGCTGTCTACTCGCTGCGATTCGCGTAGTCGGACGCGTTCCGCAGCAGCCTTGGGGGCGGAGAACGCAGCGGAGGGCATGTCATACTGCAGAGGCAGACGGACAGTGTGCATGTCTGATGGGGGGCGTCATGGCACGGCAACGTGAACGCAGCGCTTGGTCTCACACGTCCAAGACGCGCAGATCGTCGTTGCCTTGCTGCGTGGCTGCTAGAATGTGAGCTGCAGTGACACGCAACGTGCTCTGCGGCGTGCGGTCACACTGCCACATGGCGTTGCCTGGGAAATGACGCCCAGCCTCCCAGCCCTCTGATTGAGCAGTCAGGCGAACTGACAAGATATTGTCAAGGCACCCCGAAGGTGCCGATGGGCCAATTTCATGCAAAGTGTTTGCGCCCATCGCGGCCTTCTTTTCTGAAAGCGCCTTTCACTTCCACCCAGTGTCGGGCAGCAAGCAAACTTGACGCAACACATTCAGGGGGCATACTATCATCCAGTCTACTGACGAGACTCCGGTCAAACGATACAAAACTCCTCCGCTCATGGTCTCTCCTTGTGACTGCTCGATTCGTCAATAGGTGGGCAATAATCGGTTTACTGGTGGGCCATGTGACCAGCTTGCGTGAATTGGCACGAAAGGCGAATGTAACAAATGTCTAGCTTAGATAGTAGTACTGAATTGCCCGCCCATTAGAAAGGTCAGTCGCTGCCTCAAGCTCTCCACAGGACTACTGGCAACATCTCTTACCCGGTTTTGTGACTTGCTCAGGGCGCAGAAGTCTCTCCAGGTCCAATCAGTCACTTTTCTTTCTGCTTTATAGATCTTTCGACTTAGCGCGTGTGGCCGACTTCTTCCCACAGTAACGAGGGCCCAGGCGGCCCATAATACATAATTGACGCCCTGAACACTACATAAATCGTACACTGGCGCAGATTGCACTTTTCTGTTCATGGTGTCCATCCCCACTCCCTCCAAACAATGCCCATTACCAGGCTTTGCTTTTTGCGGTGTTTAGCTTTATTTACGTTTGGGCATTTTGCAACTGTTTACGTGCAAAATTCGTTCCACGCTTTTACGAGAAAATGGGCGAAAATTGCGTCAAATGGGCTTAAAGACATTACAACAGACTCAAGTAGTCCAAGGGGTGGCCGCTAGAAGCGCTGAACTGTGCAGAAACGACCTTTTGTTCGGCCACATCGTTCCCCTTGCCGAAGGGTAGGTGCTCGCTGTGCTGGCGGTGGTCAAGGGGTAGGAGGACTGACCATTGTTTGGGACGTCGTCATGTAACCTGGGTGTGTCGTGGAGGTTTAAAAATACGTAAGTATAGTTGTAAATATGGCCGTCTCTCTCTTTACGCAGCTTTACGCATGAAACGGTAAACTTACAATTGATGCCGTAAGCATGAATACTTCTATTTGGACGTAACAGGCTTGTACATTATCAAACCTCCATAAATAAGGATCTCATTTGGGCAATATTAGGAGCCGTTGCTGCCAGGAAAGGATTTTGCAGCCGGTCTCCCACAGATACACTCACATGATCACCGCACCCCACGAAAGCTTTACTAAGCGAGAACTATTAAACACAGAAATCCCATATTCATACCTCCCTCTTTCGAAAATGTTCATACCTCCCATCATGCGGAGCCTGAGGGCCCCGCGGGCCCAAACCCAGATCTTCGGTTACGTGTAAACCAACTTCCACAGCCAATTGCACTGTACGATGCGGTGGCTACTGCATGGATGGGAACACGTCGACTTGGGGTTGAGTTTTGAACATTCAATGCTGCCCCCAATCTCGCCACCGTCATCATGCTACCGCCGCTGCCCCCTTCCCTCCGTTGCCGCTTGTCTCCGCATCTGTGGAGAGGCAGTGCTAGTGGGTCGTGAGCGTTGTATAGCGGCTTATGAGTGTCTCTCAATCAGGGTGGCCTTGTCTCTCGGCAAGGGTGCCTGCTCACAGATTCAGTGCAAAGGCTAGCAGGAGATATATTTTCAAATTCCACGCCATCTTGTGTTAGGAGTGGCGGGGGGAATTGATGCAATGGTCTCGTATCACCACTGCCTGTCACCCCGTCCACTGCAAACCGGGTGTGAAATAGGATATGGCGACTATGCGGTGGCAATACTTTTGCCCATCCAGGGACCAGCCAATGGTTCCATCGGCGATGGGCACCTGACAGACCGCCCGTCTCTGGCAACACCCAGGTAATTGCTCGAAAGACAGCGCACTCCGAGAGCATTAAGTTCTCGCATCAAAGCATTTTCATGTCATCGACGTGCGTTTGTCCAGTTCCGTGAGTCCTACCCGTTGCCCACAGCTGCGAACTATGAGCAGCCTGAGTCACGTACCGCCAGTTGGGGACGAGCGGCAAAGAATCATACGTAGACACTGCCAGCGTCCGTTTGGTGACCATTAACATCGTCGAAAAAAATTGCCCCTCATTGGCTGCGACGGACTTCGCGTTGCAGTGCAGATGCGCATTGTAACGGGAAGAGCATGCTGAATCGGAAGGGCCAGCTATAGATGCAATTCAAAGGGGCAGCTGAGCGATCGCTGCGTGGTCCTCGTGGAATCTGAGGGGACACGCGTGGCCGTACGACCTGGGCCTTGGAGAGTGAAGAAAGGGGGAAGCTTTTTTGGTCGTGTGGCAGCGCCGGCGGTTGCTGGCATCTGCTATTCATGGGAGCCGGGAGGTGCGGCTGATGAAGATGAAGTGCCTTGTGCGCTGTATTTTGTGATTCACCAGCCCGTCGGTCTCAGAAACCGATGGGTCGCAGAACCCAGAGATCTCCGACGGCTGATCACTGCTACGTTGCGCGGCAACGTTCATTGTCGCTGTGGCACGCAGCGCAGTCTGCTTCCTCAACTACTGCATCGTTAGGGTGTAGTGGCGCCCACGCCTTTCTGGGGCTGCCGATGGGCGTCAGAATTTCTCTCGTTGCTTTCCGATGACACTTTTGCTCAGAATTTGTCCGACAGGGCTTCACATGATGGATCCGGCGGCCGTGGCCAAAACGGCTGGGTACCGCATTGTTTGTCTACGCTGGGAAGGCCAACGACAGCCCATGGTAGGCGTGCTGGGCGGATGCATGAGAGCATCTTTATCGGTCGGTGCTATTGTTCCGGCGGAGCTATCCAGGAATGGTTCTCATTGGCTGCAGTGCCACCTTACTAAGGCGGCATTTGCCGAATAGCACCGGTGCTATTGCTCCCCTGCACGCATCCGCAATGGTGGGTGCTATGATTACGCCGAATAGCATCACTGCAGCACTACAATGTTCTGCGCGAATAGCACCGGTGCTATTCTGGGGAGCTATTCGGTCTCGAGCGGAGCTATTCTGGCCCCGAATAGCTCCGCTGGGCGCCGAATAGCTCCAGGGGAGCTATTGGGGAGTTATTGCTCCCCAACCGTTAATGATGGTTTTTTGACGTGCGGAGCTATTCGGATAGCCGAATAGCTCCGCCGGAACAATAGCGCCGACCGATAAAGATGCTCTGAGGGGTTGGAGTACCCTCTTCATCGCCCGTGGCCAGGTGGTTTGGTGGAGCAGTGGGATGTCCCGCCCTGTTCAAACCCCAGTCAGACATCCACTTCACCAGCCAACCGCACTTCAGCAGAAAGCGCCCTCGTGGCGGGCAACCCTTCCTCATTTCGCACAAGCGCACAAATCGCCTCTCGTCACTCATCTGCCCCACATTACGCAACGCGCCCCCGGCCTTACAACAGCGGCAGTGTTGTCCCGAGTCGTCACTCGCTTCCCCAAGCCCCAACTCCCGCCGCACCGCCAATCCCGTGCCCACCCGACACAATTCTCGGACGACCGCGCAGGTGCGGAGCACCGCCGCCGTTGCCGGCCCGGGACCGGGGCCTGCCGAAGGCCAAAGCCGCGGCGCCTTGCCGGCGATCAGCAGCCGTGACGACCCACGCCCCTTTTCGGGCCTCCCTCCGCAGGTGCACTCTCCCGGTTTGCGATTTCCGACAGTCCGGCAGCGCTGCGCAGGCGTCGAGATGGCGGGACTGTCTGAGATCGGCCTCGTCGGGCTCGCCGTTATGGGCCAGGTAGGTGCGACCGATGGGAGGGCCGTTTGCTGGACGGGCGTCCGTGGCCACCGGACACGATTGGCTGCGTCCTCGTTCGCCGCTCTGAACCTCGTGCGCCCGGCGCCGCCTCACACCTGGGCGGTTCCGCGCAGAATTTCGCGCTCAATGTCGCGGAGAAGGGGTTCCGGATCTCCGTGTACAACCGGTCGCCAGCGGGCGTGGAGGCGGCCGTCAGCCGCTCCAAGAAGGAAGGTGGGGCCCCCGGTCGGTTTTGCGTTGTGGCTCGAGCCGGGGGCGGGGCGGGGTGGGGGTTGCCTTGTTGCCCGGGGCCGCCGCGGAGGGTGAAGAAATCTGATCGCAGCACTCTGTCACAATCCCATCTCCAGACGATGCCTCTTTCCCTCCATGTGGCGTGACGAACGTCTGGCAGTGTGCATTTGCGGAGTACTGCTCGGGTGTCCTGTTGACTATTCTGAGATCAGTCCCTGGAATTTGCCTTCTGCGCGGAGTGCTGAGCTGATCTGGGCCGCGCAACAGGTCTCGAAGAGCGCCTCACTGGCTTCGACAACATCCCCGATTTTGTCGCCTCCCTCGAAAAGCCACGGTGTGTGCCTTCCCACGTCCGCCTCCCCTCACTTCGTCCTTACTACGGCCCCCTCTGTATCCACTATCCACCTTGCTTCCTCCGCTTCCTGCATGGCAGCCCACAAGGCACTTTCTCGGCGCCTGCCTGCTCGCATGCTGCCCAATCCCCCTGCGTGCTGCAAATGGCAACCCATGAGCCTATTTCTGGTTTCAGGGGCTTCTGGTTTCGAAATTTGCACCTTGTACCGTGGCACGTGGCACAATTTGATCTGTGTCGTTTGCATGGTCCCACTGGTCCCCTGCTCCAACCCCCCAGAGCACAGCAATGGCCTTGCACTGGTGCGGCGCATCCCAAACCCAGTGTGAAAATGGGCGATCTTGCGCAGTGCTGCTGCCCCTCTTGTCCCTTCCGCTATTCTTCTAAAACTTGTGTGCTGTGCTTGCCACAGCAAAGGGCATCTATGCTTGTATAGCAATTTGTTGTCCCCTGGAACACATGCAAATTGTGGTTTGAGTGTTTTTGCAGCATGGGTACATGCCTGTGGCTGTAGGCGCGTGATGATACTCGTCAGGGCAGGTGCCCCTGTCGATGCTGTGATCGAGAGCGTGTCGGAGCACATGGAGGAGGGGGACATCATCATAGATGGAGGCAACGAGTGGTGCGGAAATCCTTTCTGATCAAATGCACACCAACACGATTGAGTGCTGTCTGTCATTTGTCAGGGACGCTGAGCATTATTAAAAAAAGCAGGTGTTGCTCATTAGCGAGTTGTTTGTTCTTGTTTGCCATCAACTACATCATTGAGTGGAGTGGATGGGCTTAGTGGGGTCTCCTTGGGGGTGGATCGGCTGGAAGACGTTGGTGACATTGCCACTTGTTGGCTACAGAGACTTTGAATGTTGCCTCGAGGCCTAAAGAACTGATGAATCTGTGCCCGTCGATGTCCTCCATTGAAAGGGAATATGCATTCCTTGGATGGCTGAAATGGCAGTCCTCATCGCTCCTCAGTTGTGGTCGCTCCTTAGCTGTGGCCATCTGGTCAACAAAGAGGCTAGCAGCAAGACTTGCAGTTAAGGAGCATTTGGAGGAATACACCTAGCATGCGTGGTTGTTGTGGGCAATCCAGAATTGGCAGTGCCATGTCAGAATGTTGATCGATGTTTGCTACTTGCCAGAGAATGAGAATTAGTATCTGGCCTGTGTGCAGACAACCAGCATGCTGTGCCACACATGAAAGACTGACAACTTTTTACTGATGCTTCATCCCAACCGTTTGTGTACATCTGTAAAATCTCTTGCAGGATGGCACACAAAGTCTGAAAGACGCCAGCTCAGGAGTCCGGACCCCATCGTATTGCCTGTTTTGTTTCTGCCGTTTGAAATTTGGCAGCAAGTGTGCTGGCTGGGTACTGGATGCAAATGATATTGCTGGGTGCAAGGCTGAACTGGCAGTTGTGTTTCCTTGCAAAGGTATGAAAATACAGAACGCCGAAAGGACCATGTGGCCAAGAAAGGCCTGCTGTACATAGGGATGGGAGTGTCTGGAGGAGAAGAGGGTGCACGAAATGGTGAGTTGATGTGGGTAATAAGGCAATGTGTTAATTCTTTCTGGATGTGGGAGCTGCACTCACCACTGTGCTGTTCTGTTACATTCAAACTCTGACTCGCCCTCAAAGATTGTTCACCCTTGTTGAACCGATCTCATTGTGGCATGCTCTCGTGTGGGCCTTTTGGTGTCCACAGCTGTTTCTATTCCTTTCAGCAATGCAGAGGAGTAAGAGGAAGCAATTTCCTCCAGATTGGTTGCCTGATCATTTTGGAATCTGTGTGGCTGGAGATTTTCTTGTGGTGAAAGGAAAGAAGCTTAGAGTGACAGTGTCCCTGGCTTGAAGGGATAGTATATATGAGAGGCTTCCCCATGATACTTTTGGCTTGTGCCAAGGTGTATGCCATCTTGATGCGTATTCATGACCAGCACTGGCCAGCGAACAGCACAAAGGATTCTGCAGACTTGCAGACGCATGAAATACGTACGGTGTGGCAGCATCTCCGGTCTATTGATTCCAATTGTGTTGCAGGTCCTTCGATGATGCCTGGAGGAAGCAAGGAGGCCTATGCTCCCCTGGAGAACATGTTTTCCAAAGTTGCTGCGCAGGTGGACGATGGCCCCTGTGTGACCTACATTGGAAGCGGAGGTGCTGGGAACTTTGTGAAGATGGTGCACAACGGCATTGAGTACGGTGACATGCAGCTCATTTCGGAGGCCTATGACATCCTGAGAGTTATTGGTGGCGCCAGTAATAAGGAGTTGTCGCAGACATTTGCAGACTGGAACAAGGGTGAGCTGGAGAGCTTCCTGATCAACATCACATCCATTATTTGTGCCAAGCCAGATGACAAGGGAGAGGGGTTCTTGGTGGACAAGATTCTGGACAAGACGGGCATGAAGGGCACAGGAAAGTGGACAGTACAGCAGGCAGCAGAACTGTCTGTGCCGGCACCAACCATCACAGCTTCGTTGGATGGCCGGTTCACAAGTGGCCTGAAGGAGGAGAGGGTTGCTGCTGCGAAATTCTATGAGGGGCTGGGAGTTGCAGAGCCATGCGTGGCAGAGGTGAGTGACTGTTTGCATGGTGAACTGTTGGTAGGTGCAGGGTCAGGCTCTATGCCTGCATGCTGCCAATGAAACTGTGCTTCCTTGCAAGTAGCGTCAGAAAGGAGACCCATAGGCTCCCAAACCTCAAGCTCCTGGGGATTGATGACTGCATGCAGAAAATGCACGTGTGTGTTGGAGTTCGGCATACTATTCCTGATATTTCCTTGATGCTGGTTGTTGGCTTGTTGGCACAGCCTGGCCAAAGTCTTCGCCTGCCCTAGTTCTCACCTTTTTCCCATATAACACTGGAACCTCATAATAGTAGTTGAGTACTACCTTCCAAGGGCATTGTGTTGTCCTGTGAACAATGCGCACAATGCGAGCAGATGTGGAAATCCTAGGTCGTTTAGCAGACAAAGATGGATGCCTGAAACCCCCATACTTTCGCAGCCGACGTTGGCATGCCTGCTGTTGCTGCAGTCGCCCGATGACAAGGCAGCTCTCATTGACGACGTCCGCCAGGCTCTCTATGCATCCAAAATTTGCAGCTATGCACAGGGCATGGCACTCATCAGGGCAAAGAGCCAAGAGATGGAGTGGGACATCGACCTGGGATCCCTTGCTCGGATCTGGAAGGGGGGCTGTATCATCAGGGCAGTTTTCTTGGACCGAATCAAGCAGGTTTGGCTGGGCCCCCCACTGCTGAGCCGTGTTTGTGTGATGTACAGTGCAACTTGCATGGCCTCCACATTCGTGTCTCGATGTCTGTCCGCATACTACCCTGCAAGTAGCACAAGAGTGTGCACCCTCGAGTTCACTGTGAGAACGGCACGCAGGCAGACAACTAACTGCTCCACAAGAATCGTGCTTATCTGTTAAAATTATGGCAACTGGAGGACAATCGGATGTGTCAAGAATTCATGATGCGCCGAAACTGGACTGCATCCTGTCCTCGTAAACGTTCGTTTCAAGCAGTTTTCATTACGAGCAGGGATAAGTCGTAATATTGTTGAAACTAAAGTGTGAGAACCTTAAAGAGCAGGTATTTTCTCGTGCAGCATGACACCACCGAACCACTTGATTGGCTGACTATGAAACTCCATCCGCTGATGCACCATCCTCTGTATACAATTGTCATTTGGGGAGTGAGTCCTTTACCATGAAGAAGACGCGCTTGTCGTGGGATTGGCTTCCCTGTGGGCGTAACTATCCTGATGAACAAACACAAATGAGACACAAGCATGATGCAAAATATGGTGGCGCACTGTCAGCCTCGATGGTGCATCGCTTGCTGCATAGTCTGCATGTGTTGTGTGTCACTAAAACACTGGGCAAGTTCCGGAACGAATTTGCCTGGGCGTTTCAGTTCCGCACAGCGTACTTGATTATTAATCATTCGTTATTAGTTCGCCAAGCGACCATGCCACTGTGACTGCATTGGTTAAACACGCGCCCACAGAAGGTTCAAAACACGCGGTTTGCGACGTGGATGCATGCACACGGTTTGCAGCACGGACGCTGCAACCCTTCAAACACAGACAAAAATTGGCCATGCTTTGCCACGGCTGATTTCACCCACGCCTGTCCGCGCCCCTGCAGGCGTTCGAGCGCAAGGCCGACCTTCCCAACCTCCTCGTGGACCCGGAGTTCGGCGCCGACCTGGCCGCCCGCATTCCCGCGTGGCGCCGCGTGGTGCAGCGCGCCGTGGCGGCGGGCATAGCCGTGCCCGGCATGACGGCCAGCCTGGCGTACTTCGACGCCTACAGGCGGTCCAGGCTTCCGGCCAACCTGGTGCAGGCTCAACGGGACTTCTTCGGGTCGCACACGTATCAGAGGACGGACATGGGGGGGTGGTTCCACACGGTGTGGGACGAGTCTTTCGGCAGCGCCGACACAGCAATCACGTCAGGCTACAACAACTGAAAAACACACCCAGTGGCGGCGCCCGCGCGTGCGGTGCGCCGCTTTGCAGCGGGGAAGAGCGGGCGCAGGGGGGGGGATGCCCCAGTACTGGGCAGAAGCACAGCAGGCGTCAGAGGGACAAGCAGAACGATTGTGGTGTGTGCGTGGGAATTTGGGGCTGGTGAGAGCTGTGTGCGATGCTGGTTGGCGGGCGGGGGGAGATGGCGCCTTGCAGTACTTGCGGGTTTGTTGCCGCGCATTGCCGAGCGCAGTCCCGTTTTGGATGACATGGGGAGTGCATGGCTGATGCTTCTCTTGAGGTGCAAAGAGCTGGCCGGACTGCTGACGTGCTGGAAGCCAACTGCCAGGCGCCCCCCTTCTACCAACGAAGAGCCGTCTCCATGGGTGACATCAAACATGCCCAATGCGTGTGTGCCCGCATCGCTTCCGCGCTCATGTAGCGCTGATTGGCTGTCTGCAAAGCAGTCAGTGTAGGGTCGCACGGTCATATCCCCTCCCCTTGTTTGCATGCGTGAATGGGCGAGCAGGTCACAGGTACTTTTGTCACCAGGAATTACAAGAATGGCCTTCTACGGTCATCATCATCGTCATCATTTTCTTACTGAACCAGACAATGAGGTGGCCGTCAGCTTCCCGTCTTTCCTTAGCAAAGCAGTGTCTATGATCAGTCCATTCAGATCCAATGTCACACGAACAAAACATTACGTTCTACAATCCCCCTCCACCCGACCACACCCAGATAGAGATCATCAATCTACTGGCGGACTTTTAGTACAAAATCAATTTCCATCAGAAGCCATCAGAAGGCGTTGATTCTTCTATACCCTCAATGAAATCCTTCCGAGCTCTGTTCTTGTCACCGTGGCCTATACATCCTGAAAACAGCGGACCGTTGTTCATCCGCTCCAGCGCTCCAAATGCCTGTGGCGCCAAGGCCTTCGCCCTTCCCAATAGAATTCAACGACTGTGACGGACAACGGCATGTGACATTGCGCAGCTCTTCGGAGCTGCGTTTCAGCGGCCCAATTCTTGCCCCACTGAGTTGTCATGTGAATCTCATCGAGCAGCCCTCCGCGACACTGGCACTGAGTCAGGTCACCAGCGGCCGGCTTCGTCACTGAGTGCATTGACAAGTGCGAAGAACATGCACAGAGTATGGACGAGGGCGTCATCCGCTCACCGGGCACCAGGTGTTCTTTATGCGGAGCTCACAGCAAAAGTCCAATGTCGGCGAAAACAACAAGCTTGCCATTTGGTGACGGGGACCACATCAAACATCGGACAAGTGATAGTCACCGAGGTGGAGCAAGCCACCCGCCCAAAAAGCCACCAAAGAATCTAGCACGCAGCCCCGCTGCCCTCGCGACAGCCTTGGCCAATGAAATGCCAATTTCGGACGGAAGACTGTAGAAGACGTTGCAAGCAATCATCAAGACGACTCTATGCACTAGTTCGCCCCGAGATCATCACTCGGATGGACGAACCACATCACCCTAAACACCCACCCTGGACATCAAAAGGATGGCCAGAAAACACACCCTTGCAACGAGCAATCAGCTTCTTTATGTACAGGTGAGGACGGTTTGATAGGAACGTGTACAAGATGAGCAAGTACATGACCGTGGACCCATGCGAAATGACTAAGAGAACAAGCCCATGTGACCTTGATACTTATATTTGGCTATGATGAAAAAAGCCTTCAGCAGGATGTTCTTTCATACAAAGAAGCCCCCCCATGGGTACATCCTGCAGAGAGTCGTAAGGTCGACAGCATTGTTGGCAAAGGGCACTCTGCACAGCTCCCACGAGGTAGAGCGGAGCACAGAAATGCAGAAAGGCACACTCTGCAACAAGGCATCATGGCTCCACCCCAACCACAGCCTGTCCCCTGTGCCCGCCAATCAAGTGGCATCCAGCAGCCCATCGGGGTCATCATCAGGGGCCCTTGCCCATGTCCCAAACTCTAATAAATCCCAGCATGGAGAATCAAGCCCCCGTCAAAGACAACAAGAAAATGGGGCCAAACTTTTTCCTCGAGCTGCAACTGGTGGCGGCCACAGCAGGCCTGCCCACACAAACATCTTTACCGCAGGCCTGTATCTCTTCATGCAGCGGGTTTTCTCGCTGCAGCCCAGGCGCAGCACTTCAAAAAGCAACAACGGTCCACAAAACTGTCCCAGGCGTTTGGGGGCCCTGCCTGAGAGCAGAAAACTTGAAGAAAAAACTCCGCCTATGGCAAATCAACTGAATTGCGCATCGCCCCAAAACACCCAATCATCCTAAGCACCAGTTGTCTCGTGAGCTCCTTGTTGAGGTTGCCCATCAGCAACAGGCTGCCACAGCGCTCATTGCGAGATAGCCACCCGGTCGGCCGATCTTGAACTGTGTGGAATGTGCGGATCCAGGCAATGCACGACATCAGAACGAACCAAAACGTCGCCTCCCGCCATGTCTGTGTCAAAATTGAAAATGGCTAGTGGATGACCACAGCGGAAAGAACCCAAGCGAGCGATTTGTTTCACCCAATTCTACAAAAGCCATACACAACACGGTCTGACAAACAAGGCAATCCGCATAACTCTGCACCACTGGCGGCGATCACTCATCCGCAGGCACGCCATTCGTTGCGACGACTTTGGCGAACCACTTGCTGGACTCCTTGGGAACCCTCTCCAGCGTATCGAAGTTCACCCAATGAATGCCAAAACGCTTGGTATAGCCAAAAGCCCACTCAAAATTGTCGAGCAGCGACCACACGAAGTAGCCGCGGCAGTCCACGCCATCCTCGGCGATGGCTTTGTGCAATTCGGAAATGTAGCCACGCAGGTACTCCACCCTCAATTTGTCACACTTGGCCACTGCAGCATCCTGCTCCTTACATGCGCACCCGTTCTCGGTGACGATGATTCCTCCAGGGGGTCTGTACCTTTTCTGAATCCAGCCCACCATCTTCCTAAGGCCCCAGGGGACAATCGCCCAGCCCATGTCAGTCACAGCCCAGTTTGGGTCATTGGACCACTGCGAACCTTGATCGCAAAACCATCCAACGGAATTGGTGTCGTCTACAACCGGCTCCGTTTCCATGGCCCTCGGCCCTTGCTCCTCGCAGGTTTGCGCACCCTGCACCCAATCCAAGAGGCTCTTCACGCCCCACCCTGCAGCCCTCCCATTTTGAGTGGCCCCATCGCACATTGGGGAAGTTGCTTGGGACTTCTGCTCGGGACCGCGTCCCGCACCATTGGGCACCAATTGCCAGTTCGCCTCATCTTCGGGTCTGGTAAATCCAGCAGCAGATCCAGGAAAGGCATCCTTCGAGCAAAGAAGCGGCTGTGGTCAGTTCAGAATCACTGCCCCGTTTTCGTTTACATTCCAAAGACAAGCAACCGACTTGTGTCGACAGAGAGCACAGCCAAGATCAATCTCAAACGAATATCAACTTACAGAGAGCGCACAGGCCCCTGGGAATGGAGTATGGACTATTCAGTGCACCAAGAAAACGGTTGGCTGTTCAGTTTGCCGCCAGGTCCCCACGCTACTATGTGGTGCAACGAGCAACCCGAGACCAAACTGCTCCCAAATGAGAAATCCCTGGCCAAATGCCACGATTCCGACCGCTCAACATTTTCCCGAATTCGTAAGCGCAGCGAGCAGCCCATCCCAACACATGTGTTGGGACATTGAGTTGTAGAACTCAATTCGCAGTTCTGCGACAGCTCATTGTACTTTGTGCAACGCTGTGATATCCTGACAGTTCTGTGACAAACTGGTGTGGGCCGTGCTCCACTGCCTTTGATACGGCTGCGGTATGTTTCCCAATCGCCAGTTGACAAATTGCCACCAAACAGGGCTGATCCCCAGCAGGCCTGGTGGAGTGTGTTGCAGATACAGACCAAGAGCACGGAAATGTGACAGAGACGAGACGGAGATGGACACCAGGCTTGGTTTTCACATTTACTTTTATGCTTTTGCTTTTACGCTTTTACGGGTGAAAACGTAAATTTGCAAAAGGGCCTATTTTTACGGCTATTTTTACATTTTTACAGCTCCCTGGCACACGTAGGTTACACGATGAAAGTTGTGTACAGTGATTAGTCCTCGGCCATCTCCATCACCTGCAACAAAATTTCCACCTCGCCCTTGGCAAGGGTGATAACGACGTTTAACAAAAACTCGTTTTCTGCCAAGAAAACAGTTCTCTTCCAAGGCGTCTGGCTGCCACTCTCCGGACACTGTAAGTATGTATGTACTGTCCTTATGTACACCAGGCAGTTTTTACGTTGCATTTACGTATTTTTACGCACTTTTGCGCATAAAAACATAAAAACTATTTTCACACGTACAAACGTAAATACGATCAGTTTTTATGGCGTATAAAACAAGCCTGATGGACACCCAGTACATAAGCCCTCCAAACCTACCGCCTCACCGCACAACCCTGACCCGTCTCCATCACCGTCTCTGGCCCCGCCTCTGTCACGTCTCTGCGCTCATGGTCTGTACCCGCAACCACGGTGGTTCCGGAGACGAGGGTCTTCCCGACATGGACCATGAGCACGGTGACGGTGACGGAGGCGGTACACAAAGTTAGACCCAGTACATACACACCCTAAACCCTAACGCCCCACTGCCCAATCCTGACCTGTCTTCGTCTCCGTCACCGTCTCCGTCACCGTCTCCGTCACCGTCTCCGTCACCGTCTCCGTCACCGTCTCCGTCACCGTGCTCATGGCCCGTATCGGGAACATTGTGGCGGAGACAGACCATGAGGACGGCGACGTAGACGACACGGAGATGGAGACGGTGACGGGGACGGGGCTCGAGACGCAGACGGGTCACGGTTGGGCGTTTTCCGCCTTTTTAGGGTTTCGGCTTTGGTACGGATGCGGAGACGAGGCAGGATTGGCTGGGTGGGGTTTGGGGTGTGTATGTACTGGGTCTCCTCTTTGCCCACTGTGATCGTGCTCGTATCTGTATCCGTATCCGAAACACCCTCTCCGCAACAGCCTGATCTGGTGACCCCGCCACTGGCCGCCCCAATCTCCCCCCCTCCACCCGCACACACCCACCGAAACGTAAGTTGTCGTGTAGTGGTTGAGGCCGAAGAAGTCCGCGCTGCCCCTCAGCAGCGCCGCCTCCCCGGCGCCGAAGCTGGGAAGACGGTCGCCCAACCGCACCCGCATCAGCTCCGGGTAGTCGCCCAAGTACACCGGGTCGGCAAACCAGGCCAGGAAGAACTGCCTCGTCCTCTCCGCGGCCTCGCAGTTGCGCATGTACCGGCGGGGGTCCGCGTCCGGCAACGGCTCCCGCCAGTCGCTGTTGAAGGTGATGCCGATCGACCCCTCCTGAAAGGGCTTGAAGTCCCGCCGGTACAGGCGAACGGCGCGGGCATGGGCGAGCAGGATGTGGTGGGCGGCGAGGTAGGGCTCCCTGCCGGGGTCGCGGCTGCGCCCGGGCGCGTGCTCGCCGGTGCCGAAGCCCAGGACAGCCACGCACCAGGGCTCGTTGAACGTGATCCAGCGCTTCACGCGGTCGCCGAAGTGGGTGAAGCACAGGCGGGCGTACTCGACGTAGGCGTCGATCACAGCATCCCCGCCCAGCCAGCCGTTGCGCTCAACCTGGGCAGGCCGAAAAAAGGCAATCACGCGAGGGGGGACGGCGAAAAGCAATCAGAAACAATCGGGCCCGAGAAAATCCGCGCACAAAAAACCCCAGTGTGACCTCTTGCGGAGATGGCGTTCGCTCCAAGGGGCGCAGAAGATGTCGGGACGCACGCGCTCGGGTCCCCCGGCGCACCTGCAGGGCCAGGGGCAGGTCCCAGTGGTAGAGCGTCACCAGCGGTTCGATCCCCTCCGCGATCAGCGCGTCGATGACCCGGTTGTAGAACGCCACGCCCTCCGGGTTGGCTGGCCCCGTCCCCGTCGGCTGGACGCGCGTCCAGGCGATCGACAGCCGGTAGTGCCGCAGGCCCATGTCCGCCATCAGCCTGACGTCTTCGCCGACCCTGTGGTACTGGTCGTCCGCCATGTCGCCGTTGCCGCCGCCCGCCACCTTGCCCGCCGTGTGGGCGAAGAAATCCCATATGCTGCGCCCCTTGCCCCCCTCCGTCCAGCCCCCCTCCACCTGGTACGCGGACGTGGCCGCCCCCCAGGCAAAGCCCTCCGGGAATTGTCGCGCGCCCGTGCCATCCCCGGCCCCTGTGCACCCATCGCCCATCGCCCCTTTCCGATCAAACCCTGGGGCCGCCCAGAGAGGCTCCCGCGCTGTTGTGCGCCCCGGCTGGGAGCAGCCAGGCGGCGGGCCTTTCCCTTTGCGCTGGCCCGTTGCGAGGGGTCGCCCGCGTAGTTGGGGCGCCTGATATACGAGCGCGCGGGCAGCGCACCGCCACTGTCACTGCCGCCCCACAGGCAGACACCAGGCTTTGGAGTGACCGGCCTCCAGTCCCCGCGGCCCCGGCGGCCGAATCACTAACCCGACGGCCGGTTCGTGGAAGGCCCCTTCGCGGCCGGCAGCGGCCCAAAGTACTGGGCGGGCAGGCGCCAAGCTGGCGGAGTGGCAAGGCCTGGGGTTCCAGGTGGGCGGAGGGGCGGCCGCCGACTTCCGGAGGGGCTGGCGGAGTTTCGTGACTAAGGCGCGGGGCTGCTTCCGAGGGCCGTGCCTCGCGAAGGACAGCTCTGGCCGTACGTACGGAGGGTGTGGTCGGGGTGAGGGGGCGGTGAAGACGAGGCGCGCACCTGCGCTGCCGCGGAGGCGAGCAACGTGCAAAGTGCTTGAAGCAAGCGCTGACGGAGGGGACAAGTGCCGGATTTGATTCGATGAAGTGACAGCTGGCGCCAGTGGCGCGCCGCAGATTGGCCTGTGCCGTTGGGCAGCCGCAGGTACGGCTCAAGGTGAGCACCTGCACACATGTCCGATACCTGTCGCATCCTGACATGAAAGTCGTTAAGGCCATTAAATGACCTTCGTGACCCAAAGCCCTAAACCTTAAATTGTTCAAAGTTTAGGGCTTTTTGGAAAATTTTATAGGTTTTGGGGCCCTCGTAACCTTCACGACACCTTCATGACCAGGGTTGTTTTTTACGCTGCAAACGCAGATCGTACTTGCGTTTTTACACGTAAATACAGTTTTTACGCGCAAAAATATTTCTCACGTTTTTACACGCAACACCGCATAAAATACGTTTACCCGGAAAGAATCGCCAAACTTTTTTGGGAATAATGCACTGCAATTCCAGATCTTCGAGGAAGGAGTCAACACACTTTTTCTTACTTGAAATCCAGCAGGAACGCCATCTGCGAACCTAACAAATGGCCTCCAACACTGCAAAAGTTTGATGGACATAGCGCAAATGGCAGTTCTGCTACTTACCTTGAGAGTAAGCGACCTGGGGAAAACAATCGAAAATTTTCAGGTGTCGCAAAAGCGTCGAAATGAACGGCTGCTGACAGCGTGGTCTTGCAATTGACGGTGCACAGCACAGAATGCACAACCACGACGGCCGTTTTGACTTTTTGTCAGAGCCATTCATGCTAAATGGAGAGACCATAGAATCGCTTTCCATATTAACGGATGGTCCATAGCAGCTACACTTTCGACAGCCCATCAAACCTTTTCAGATGTGAATCGTAGTTCAAGAACCACCCGAGGTCACAATCGCTACCTGCCAGAGCGCGCTGCACGCATGGACGGCGTGGAAATATCGATACGACAACCTTCTAAGCAAAAAATGGGTATTTTCTGAATGTCCATATGGCCACCTCTCTACAAGAGCGCACAAACAATCGCTGATGACCACTGTGATGGGCGGCTGCCACAAGCAGCACTACCACCGGCAATGCTCCACATTTCAATACTATATGCTGCCTCCGAGAATGTCCTTCTGTAGTGCCAGATGGGACGTTGCTGCATTTCAGTGGCAAATCGTTTCTTGTGAACTGTCATTGTAAGACATGACACGCATTCCTGCATATCTCCATGCACGTGCAAGAATCTTGCAGCAATATGCTGCAAATATTCTTGGGAGGCAGTTGCTCAGGCGCAGGCATGATGGTAGATAAAACGGCGATCAAAGCTGCTCAATGCAGAATTGAGCTGCGGATGAGAAAACAGACTCCATCAGCATAAAAAATATATCCGGGCATATTGACTGCAAAAAGGGGTTGCTTGAGCGCAACAAGCGCAGATGCTAGCAATTCACTAGGAAAAAAAGGGCCAAATAACACTTTTGCACACACATATAAAACACATTTCATCAAAATTCTGCACGCTAAGAACACGAAAAAAACGCAAACCCGTAAACTTTATACACGTTTGAACACGTGTTATTTGGCCCTTTTTTTCCTAGTGATTATAGTATGTACTTCCTCCGTCCAATATTAAATGTCCTCTATTCGAAAGACAAAACATATTGCACAAAATGCCTCAAAAGTACAAAAGAATCGGAAATATTGGATCCCAAACACCTAAACTAAAAATTTTCGAGGGAAAAAATCAGTCCCACCCTTGAAGGCACTTCCGAAATTGCACTTGGATTCCCAAAAAAATGTGCATGCCGATCCCGCTTACACTATATGGGTCGCTCCTGTCCCGGGCAGCCAAGAGGATGGCTTCGCCACTGCCACGGAGAGCATGCTGGTGTTCCGCAACACCATGAAGGAAACGGCGCAACGAAGTTCCAAATGCGGTCAGCAGCATCAATATGTGTGCCAAGCGACATTGGAGCTGACTGATTAAAGTCATGGAAGTTGTGAAAGCAATTAACACCTTGGCGCTCATGAGTGGCTTGAGGATGAGATGTTGTTCAATGTCATAGTTGCTGTTGTGGAGGTAGCGGGTGAGGATGCCATGGATGGGTCGGGCATGGATGGTCAATGACTGAATTAGCATTTCATTGAGGTTGTAATCGTGAAAATGTTTGCCGTATTGTTAGACGCATTTTTAGTGGCAAAATAGACATACGTGACAACACACGTATGTTGCCGTGTCCTTATTTTAAGCCGTATCCGCATTTCTCAAGCTTTTTGCAAACATTCAAAGCTGCGCCCTTTCGCTAGCGAGAAGTTGGCTGTAAAGCCAACAGTTAGAAGCTGATTAGAAAAGTTGAATATAACAGTTGTCTGTACAGCCAACAAACTCACACGAGAGCATGTTCAAGCGGCAACAAGCTCCTGTCAGTGAACATTCCGTTCACGCCTATCCTCACTATTCGGATTCTGTTCATCCAATTTTCGGTTCTCGCCATAATGAACTGTCCCTCGATATGCCGAAATCTCGCGGGCTCTCGCACTCAATTGAATACGAAGCCCGTATTCGATCGATTACGAAGTGCAGCTTGGGTTTCCTGCGGGTCAACGCCCCCGAGGACTGTTTGAGTCGACGCTCGGTGCCCAGCCTTATTGACTGTCCTCGATTCCATTTCCCACCACGATCTGTGCAGCGGTGCTCTTCTTACACGGTTTTGGTCTAACTTGAGCACATGTACTTGGAATATTCCAGTGTGGGCCATTCAGGCGAAGGAAATCCTGATGGCAACATGAAGATCGGGTGCGTCGTGTTCGTTGGCACAAGTCGTATGGAAAGGAAGAATACCGGGCCACCTGCTCTCTCTTGTGCTCCCAGAAAATGGATGTGGTGAGGAAGCCAAAGCATGCAAGAAACCGTGAACAACCATTGAGTGATGTGGCCGCCGGATATATCACCTATATAGGGGGAAATGAAGCTGAACGGTGTTCGCTTGTCAAAATACCCTCCGCTTTGCACCTGGTCCACAAAGTACCATTCTGTACCTGGTGTACCGTATTACGCATACGCTTTACGCACACGTGCGCCTCATGTACAGGTTGGGAGTAACGCGGAGCTAACCGGGCCGCTGGACGTACGTGTGTGGTAAGCAGCACTACAAGACGCGCCCCCAGGTCTGGGGTTGCTAATAGACCCAATCAACACGCTTTGGCGCACCGCAACGGCACCGTTCGCGACTCGCAACGGGCGCCGCGAGGGCGCCATGGCGGTGGTGGGAGCGGCCTGGACGCGCCTGCTGACGCGCGCCGGGTTCCACTTTCCCGACCCCGCGCTGGAGCTCGAGTACGAGACGTCCTTCCATTCCAAGGCCCTCGCAATGGACGCCGTGTCGCTGCCCCTTCGCTTCCTGGCCTCCCTCCTGATCTTCCACTGCATAGCCGCCACCGCCGGCCTGCTCAGCACCGACTTCGCCGCGTGGCTGGCCATCGAAGCCTCGATCGTACTGCAGGTCGTCCACGCGAATCGGCTGGCGCGAGCGATCCGCCAGGGCGGGCGGGGTGCGGGCGATGGCTCTTTGGCCCGCCTGTGCGCCTCGCGCACGCGGGCGTTGCAGGCAAGCCACGCACTGCACGCTCTCGCCTTCCCGGTGGCGGCGTCGGGGCTGCCCTTGGGTGGCGCCAGCACGGGCGGCGTCGCCTTCCACCTCGCCCTCGAGTCTGGATCCTGGATCACCGCCTGGGCCAGCGTGATGCTGCCCCTGCCCCTAAAGCACGGCGCTCCCGCGACCGTGGTCGCCGCCGCCCTTGCCGCCGCGCTCCATTTCAGGGCGGGATGCGCCCGCGCGGTGGGGGCTCCCGCCGCCGGGGATGCCGCCCTGCGCCTGTGGCGCGCCATGTCTGGGGCATCTCGGGCCGTCCTCGACTCTGTGTTTATGACGGGGGTTCGCGATTGTGCGGGGCCGTCGCCGGGGCCGCTGGAGGCGGGGCGACACCTGGGCGCGGTGTTCATGGTGGTCGCGGTGGTTGTCCCCTTTTACTGCAACTTCCTGCTCGAGGCGGCCGCCAGGGCAAGGTTCCTGAGGGGAAGGGGGCGGGCAGGGGACCAGTGCAGCGGTGCCGTGCCTTGGAGCACCGTCGCACTGCACCTCGTGATGGCCGGTGTGTTCTGGGCAGTACTTTGGGAGTTAGTGACCGGGGGCGCGGGGTAGTCAGCAGCCGCTCCAATGATCATGAGGAGTGGCTGGAGGCCGATTTGACGTGAGGCCCCCATTGAGCGCATGACGAGGCAATGGCAATGGCCCGCTGGGCGCAGTGGGGAGGGCGAATCTATTCGTCCCCACATCTTTTTCTTCAAGATCCCTTTTTCTGGTGCTGACGAGGGTAACTTGGGTCAGGGCAGTGGCACAGGGCTTACAGTGTCGAAACAAGAATCGACAATCACAAAAAGGGCAGAGGAACTAATTTCAAATTATGGG